GGAGTCGGGTTACTTACTACCCGTGTACACAATAATATTTAAATTCTGGAGAAAATCCTGCTCAGAAATTAAATTGACTTGTTAGCAAAGAGAAAAAATTTGAGCTTTGACAAACAATTAAATTCAGAGTAGAGCTTTATTTAGCCCGAGTCAGGTTGTTATCAAACGGGTATAACACAACAAATTTTTTAGTTTTCAACACATTTTGTTCATCTTCGAACTTGATTTATGATTTTGCGTATTCTAAATATGTGTGTGTAAAATTTAAAGTCGATTTGATACATTTACGGGCGTAATCGATAGACGGACGGACAGACAACCATGACGGGTACGTTAGCCCAGACTCGGGCAAAAATCCAAATACACATGAATTTCGACCTTTTTAAAAAATAATTGAAAAATAGCCCACAGATTTATGTGCTGCGTTGCATCCTTCAATTTCACCATTTCGCAAGGTTTATGCTTCTTAATAAAAAAAATGATGGCGAAGAATTGATGCCTTATTATTCTCTGAAAGTGTGCACTACTCCATTTTTACTTTCCCCTTCAATTGAGGTAAATGGCTTTTTCTCCGCTTTTCAGTTATTCGCATCATCATCAAACCGAACCGACCGACGACCGACCTTGGTTTAGACGGTTATTTTATGGTGTTTTGCGTTATGGGGGTGATTTGTATTCAAAACGAGGTGGCTGGACGTAGAAGGAGTGGATCTGAAGGAGGAGAAAGATGCTAACTAATGTGATTTGATACTTAATCCACTTTCTCCCACGGAGAAAGAGAGTAAAACAATCTTTTATACTGGTTTTGGTTTCGGGACGTAACCCGCCTTGTTATTATTCGGATGGAGTTTAGGTATAAAAGGTTGACTCGAGTAGTTTGGAAAGAAATGAAATATACAAATTTTACAGAATTTGTGTCCCAAGAATTGTGAATTCTCCTCCCCGCAAAGAAAGAAAGTAGTTCTGTTGCTTTCATGTGATTGTGATATGAATATTGCCAAAGAAGAAAGTCGAGAGGAGGGAAATGAGCCAAATTGGTAAATTCAATTTCTCTCCTCACTCACAAATTACCTCAACTAAACTCTTCTTCTTCTTACGTTCTTCTGATAATGCTACCAGGACGGCATATCAATCCAGTTTGTTATAGAAGACTAACTTTATTCGCATAGTTTTCTTCGAGGTGGTGGTGAAGAGAAGAAGTTAAAATTTGATGTTGATATCAACACGCAACTTTTTACACTGCTTCTTGTCCTACTCCTTCTCCTTTGTGTAGAATGTGAATGAATGAAGGAATGAATGATGACAAAAGTTTGTGTGGAGACAGTTTGACGTTTTAGCGAGAGGAGTGAATTGTAGTAAATTTTGGGAATGTTTTTATGTAATAAGCGGGAAAAAGGTGGAGAGAAATTAAGAATTTTAGTGTAATTTTCAATCGCAAAGATGATATTTAGGTGAGGAAACATCTAGTTTGCACAGGTGGCATGTGGTCACTACGAACAAAATCCAGTATTGTGCACGCCAGGATAAAAATTAGTGTAAAAAACTAAAATAATAAATAGTTTTAAGCGATATATTCTTAAAAAACCTGTAAAAAATACCAATGTCACCTCCACCTCACCACCAGGCTCAATTTATATAGTTACGCAACGCAACGTGCCTACCTCGTAAAACGCCACGCTTAAAACACGCTTTTCTCCTTCTTATTTGGCACACATCCCCCAAAATATTGTGGAATGCTTGAAAAACTCCATGAAATCCAAACTACCCAAGTTTTCTCCAACTACAAAACCAGCCACCCATTCCACCAGGGTTTACAAGGTCCTGGAATTCCTGTCATCGTCATCCTCGTCCTCCTCCCTCCTCAGCAAAGTCAGTCAGTCATCGCACACATATTTATTACTGACGAGAGTCACATCTCGTATTTCTACTCGCGTTTTGTTAATAATGCGCCTTCCTTCTTGAAAAGCTGCATGGATGGTTGTCGGAATCTCCCTGTGATGTGGATGGATCGATAAATTTGATATTATTATTTGCTGACGACGACGACAACCAACCGACCAAACCAAACCACGCAAAACTGGTGGATCTTGGTTCAAAAAGCTGAAATACGTACGTATATTCGTTCTGGAACGAAATGTTAAGTTGGATGTCGGATCCTGTCCATTGTTACCCTCTTCTCGCTGCTGCCTCTTCTTTTCTCCATCCATCCAGCAGGGTATTAATACTCCATTATTCCTCTAATGCCACCACATTGTGCTCTAATCACCCTCCCGGACGGATGAGGGAGAAAGTACGAGGTGTTCATTCACAAGGGTTGTGACGATGTGACCTGTTTCTCTCCTTATCAGCACGGTTTCAGCATAGGCACACCATTGCGGACTTTGATAAGTCCGGGATGATGATGATGATGACGAACCTATTAAAGACGAAAGTCATTGCAGGGGAAACACGGCTGCAGTTTCTTCTGCGTCTCTGGCCCACTTTTATTCTTAATGAGAAAGTGAGAATATAAAAAAATTCGAGAAGATGAACAACTGCGTTGTTACATATACAAATTTTGTGTATGTGACGACTGAATGATCCTGGATTTGGATAGTAAAAGGCTTAATTATCTCTATTGAATTCAATCCTCCGACTTTTCCGTCCCATTCGAATTCATGAGTTTCGTTCAGAGCTAAAAAGGTTTAGAGAGAAAGTCGGAGTTAAAACTTTATCTCTTCTACGCTGTTAAAACAATTGGAGTAATTAGCTGATATTTTAAGGATGGAGGAAGAATTAGAATGCCCAGCCATAGGACGGATGGAGGAAAATGGAGGAAATGGAGATTTCGGACTTATTTTATTCGAGATTCAGTGTCAGATTTAATTTGCGAATGTAATAATGAAGGGAATATTATAAAATATACCGTATTTGCACGCCAGTCAATTTCTCGCCGAGTTTTGAGCATGCACAATGAACCAGTTGATGAGGAGGGGCTGGAGATCTCCTATTTGTATTTGGACATCGTCTCAATAGTTCATCTCATCTCGAGTGGTAGCCGTTGCATGGGTTCATCGCATGGCTGATGACAATACGTAGAGGAGAAAGTGGGATCCGGAAATAAGTCTGCACTTAACAACCAACAGCAGGAGAGAGCCTCCCCACCCATCAGTCTGGCTTCATTCATCGCGAACGACTAAATGATGATGGTTGACACTTAAGGTTGAATACAGTGTATTCAGTGGAGAAATTCTGGGCTGCAGTTGTTGTCAAACGAACAAAAGGAGAGGGACAGGGTGGAGAATTTGGGCTTAAAAAAGAGTAGTTTTTCGGGTAGGAAAGTTTGAGGAATTTTGTAAAGTGTCTAGATTTTGGGTAAGGGTTTGGAAAGGATATAAAATTTTGGAATTTTTATGATTTAGGATGAAAATCCAAGTGAAATACCCACACAAAATGTTGTTAAATTAATTAACGGGTTATTGATTTTTGTAAAATACGCAAAAATTATGTAAGTTTATGTAGAAGCTGTAATGAACTTATTCAAATTTTAAGAGATGATAAGAGATGATATCACGTTTGACATAATCCGTATGTATCACCCTGCCCCAATTTTTTGCACAAGTCCAGAATCACAATTCGTAACGGACTTTCTCTCTGCCATCCTATAGTCCAAGGATCACCAAAACTATACTCATTTTGAGATCATCATTATTGAGTTTGGTTCGTGCTACTGGTTGGTCTCTCTCACTGAACTGGTTGTTTATTGGGCCCTCCAGCCATACTGCTGACTTTCTCCTTCATGTTTACTATGCAGACGGACCTACTTTCACCCTGCCTGCTTGCCTGCCTCCTTTATTACAACTTTCTCCCTTCCTCCTACATTAACCTTTCCTCCTCCAACTTACTATGTATGTATGCAGCCCAGAAAAACCTGTCTGTCAGTCAGTCAGCCCTAGATATTTGCCCAGGTCTCCGTCGTCCTTGTACAAAAAAAGTTGTTGGTTTTCCCCACGGCACTCTCTCTCTCGCTGGATGGATGAAATCATCATCATTAATTTTTCATATCCAGAAAATATGTACATTTTATTATTTGTCACGTTCATTTTGTCCAAATTTTCGCAAAAGCACGGAGTCGTCGAGTTAAATAATAATATGAAACATGCGGAACGAGATGAATTGTTGATTCTTCTTCTGCTCATTCCATGTAAAATATATAAAAAATCGGCTTTATCTTGGCAAATAATACGTTGCTGGGTGCACCATGGGTGGAGTGAATTTCTGTTATATGGAAGTAGAAGAAGAAGAAATGAGAATGGCAATAAAAGGCTGAACAGTTGAAGGGAAAAACTTCAACTTCAAAGGACTTAATTAAAATCTCCGTTTCTTCTTTACCCATCCATCCAGCCAGGCAACCCTTCCTCCTCTTCAGTATTATATTATATATTATCCATCCGCATTGCATTCGTCCCCGTCGTTTTATATGCTCGGCACTTTTAGTTCCACAAGTTTAGTTGGTTGGTCGGTCGGCTGGTCGGGCTGGTTTGAAAGTTGGTTATTATATCGAAAAAAGGAAAGTATGAGGGAAGATAAAGAGAAGAAAAAGTTCCAATTTCATGCCCCTGCTTTCTCCAAACCGATCCGTATTCTGATCTGGAAATGTCCTTTCACGTCAGACTGAGTAAAGCTAAAGCTGGATGATAGATGGACGACGAGTGAGTGCGATGATAATATCACGTTACACATATTACTCGATCATGGAAAAAAGAAGCTTATGCAGAATAAAAAAAAACTAACCAACCAGGCAAAACTTTACGATTCGAATATATAATAAAGAGATTTTTGGGGAAAAAAAGTTTCTTTTTTTTCTCGGAAATTCGAGAACATGTCGGATTTTTGTATTATTTATTTACTTATTTTGATTCTGGGAGGAAGGCTTATGATTTTGAATTATAAAAATAATTTGATATTTACATCTGTTTACGGGATCTAATTGGCAATTTTTTTTTTTTTTTTGTTTACAGATGTCCACGGGGCGCGAGAATATTATGGCAAGTTGATAGGCCAGTTGACAACGTATGCGCATAAAGTGGTGGGTAAAAAAGTTGTTTATTACCAACTAGTTAATTATTACTTTGCATCGTCATTAATTAATTAACTTGATTATTACGCATTTCAGTCGGGGAAAGTATATGCAGTCGATGAGGACACGTTGTTCATTAAGGATTTCACGTACGACGGACTTGGACCAGGTAAATAAATAAATGAGTACATAGAAAACACGCTTGTAGACAAAACTTTGCATCTGAATTTATTGTACAGCTTAAAAGTTCCTGCTAAAAATAGAAAACGACGTTCAACCACAACATAACAAAAATTGTCCCCCACACAAAACGCAATAGTCGCATCATCATTCATCCACCCACGTTTTATTGTGTAGTACGTCTTGGTTTACTCTTCTTACGCCTACACATCCATATCTACGAGAAGAGAGAAAGCAGTACATAATTCCCACCCACCCGATTCCGCATCCATCCAACTATTACATAAAGTGCTGAGAAGTACACAATTGAAATTAGCGGATGAGTTAGATCGACACAGCCAAAATCACGTAGAAATTGAAGAGAGGTGGGTTGGCCGGCTCCAGGAAAATATCCGAGTCGTACAGACATACATGACAACTCTTTAAATATATTACTAAATAATGTGGGAAACAGGGATGACGGACGACGTGGGTGGATTGGGTTGGGTTGGATTGGATATATTATTATTAAAGTTGCAGAATTGACACAAAATTCGGCCTGAGAGGGAGGGAAGAGAAAGCGCAGTGTGGAGATTGGGACTTCCAGTCGACTGATCCCTTTATGGGTGCCGTTTCTTCCTGGCTGGCCCCCCTCCTCGGATGACAACAAGTCAATTATTTCCAAATGAATTCACATTTTGTTCACTTCCAACTCCAGCCACGTGTATCTCCGTCTCCTCGCACTTGGTGGATCCGGATGGATGAGATGCAGCGGAGGAGGAGGAGGAGGAGGAGAGGGGACAGATTTTGAGACAGGGTTCCGTACTTTGCTTGGAGAAAGTGGGAGTAGATTTTTGTATAATTTTTGGTGACATGAAATTATAATTGGCAAAGTTGAACATAGTTTACTATCGTCACAGATGCTAGTTTATGGTGATACTTGCTTGACAAAGCGTAAAAAATCCCGTGGTGAAAAACACTCAAATAAATTCTATATATTAAATTTACAACCACTGAAGCAAGTACATAGTGTCGATTTAATGGTCCATTCTTCGTTCAGGAGCCACTTACTTATGTATTGTCGTCACGATATGAATATGAAAATTATTATGTGCTTATTATATGTGCCTTTTGTTTCATTTGGCGTAATGAATTTTGACTCCAAGTCACGAGGGAGAAAGGCACGTCTTCTCATTTGTAAGGTTGCTGCATCCATTCCATTCCATCTCATTACGTATTGTACAACTTTTCCAGGCCAGGCCAGGCGTCGTCTCAATCTAGAAACTGACTGCAACGAAGGTTTGGTTTTAATAATGAGAGTATCGATTTTCAAACTTATTTTAATACAATGTATGAGCCCAGTCACCCGGCAAGATTTCGCTCAAACGGTTCCTCCTGCCTGTCTGCCTGCCTGCCTGCCTGCCTGGTTCCAAACCACTCACTCAATAAACATCAGACTTGATCATTCTGAGATGCTGCTGGTGGAGAAAGTGGTGGAAAGGAAATTAAGGTTTCTCCGAGCAGTTTATTTGTGTGAGTTTGTGGGACGGAGAACAAAAGGATGCACTTTCATGGATGCTTTCTACCCGTGAATGAGTGAGACGAAAAGTTGTCACGTGGAGAAACATGCAGATTTCGATGGTATAGTTAGGAAATTTTGTGGTTTGTAATATTTCCAAAATCGTAAGATCATTCAATATTCAATGTATCTTTTCAGAATTATTAATTAATCATGCAGATTTTGGTAATAGAGTGAGTTTTGGGAAATATATGTCCAAAGTCGTAAAGCCATCAATGTTGGAAATATCTATTCAGAAATATTAATTACTCAAACTAACATTAATTAATTTCGGCACAAAACTATACCAAAACTTGTTTTTCTTTATAAAATTCATTTCAAATTAATTATTCCTCTACTAAAAAAATGAAAATTACTACCTAAAAACTTTCATTTATTCCAGACGCCTACTTCTGGATTGGGACAGGGAAGAATGGCGACCCGTCCCCCTCAGGCGTCCTAGTTCCTTACCCGGACGACTACTCCGACAGGTGAGACTCCCTTCTTAAATAATATGCAATACCGCACCACTTATTGATCCAGTCCAGTTACATAACAGACTTCAAGTATTTAGGCATTTGTCACTAATCCAAAATGTCGCAGAGCCCTCCAACTACTTTCCAATATCCATAAATTAAAATAATGCATCCACTAAATACTTGTAAGTTCGCATTAATGCATAATAATGAAACTTTCTCGGAAATTTACATCTCTCCCTCTCCCTCCATTCTCGTCCTGGAGATAAACACCGAGAGTTTAGTTTAAGTACGTAGTAGTGGAATCCTATAAGTACACATGTATATTCAGAACCAACCAGATTGGGTCCGCCCGTTCCATGTTCTCCGATTGCCGAGAAATCTGAGCCCTCAAATAAATGCTGGAACTCAATATTATTACATCTCTCTCGTCATGTATCTATCTTTCAAGCGGAGCGGAGCAGCGAGGAGTGCAATAATGTAAACAAATTCCGCCGGATTTATCCACTTTCTCTCTTGCGAGGAGAAAGGCTGGGAAATGATCACGATCTCACATGGGAGAGATCGCATACTGATGGAAATCCAGACCCACCGAATCCACCGACCACTACATAGTTTGAGTTTATTTTACTTTATTTTATATTGCCTCTTCCCTTTGATCTTCATTTTATATCGGGAAATCCGTCCGCAAACTTGGATGAGAGCGTTGTTATTAAATTTTCGGGGGGAAAAGTCAAATAAAAAATTCGGATAGAAAATAAAAATCAATCAAGTTTTTCTCCTTTTTAAAATGTTCTTTTTTAATTAAGACTCCAAATCTTCACCTCGATCATGGATGGATCGATTATTTTCTAGTTCATCTTTCCCAGAGAGGGGACAGAATAAATTATTACGTGGTCTGGTCTGGTGGATGGTGGGCAAAGATAAAGAAGCTGCGTATATAAAAGATGGATGGAAAGTGATAAGTGGGATTTATTTGGAATTTGAGAAATCAATATCACCTCGAAGAAGAAAGTGGGGAGAGAAAATGAAACCAAGCCCAATCCTGATGCACTCAGGGATAGAAAATCTCGTCGGGAGAAAGTGCGTCTCAATCTGCCCCAAGTTTTTGTCTCGTCGAAATCTATCTCATTCTTGCTTTCTCTCTTTCTGTCAGTCTTACTTTTGCTCGATGCATCATGATCTCAATTTGTGTCGGACAGCAAACAGCACACAATGAATAATATTTAAGTATTTCGTCAGAAATGAGACGTTGAAAATGACCGTTTTGGTCGTCGTCGTCATCATCGTCTCATTTCGAGTCGAGTGGGTAAACCAGACGAAATCTGACATGTCCATTAGCAACTGTGTAATTTGTAATTTTGTCTGGGCTGCTGCTTTGCTAAAAGCCGATGAGTCGTCGAGAGCACAGACTTTCTCCTGCTGGCAACAACACAACAACATATTTATACTGGATTCAGTAGCCTGTCCATAAATAGTGCATACACGGCCTACACGACACCAATTTTATACGAGTGGTGGTGGTGGGTAGCTAGTTTTGGGCTGGTAATAATGGTAATGGAATGGAGGGGGGTATAATCACACGTCCACATATTTCATCCCTTCCTGTCCTAATTTTCTCACAAATAATGGAATCACATACACAACACATACATACGAAGAGCAGACGAAATCCATCCTGGGCTAAAATCACTTTGCTTTACGGAATCTACTAAATGTTGCCCAACTTTGGAATCGGGGATATTATTCAAATGAAAATAAATGCTAATTTTCCCTTGAATGCACTCTTTTATTTGCAAGGATTTTGTACAAGATTGTATTTTGGGGCAGAGTTTGAAAGGATTTTTATACGCTAGGATTTGGTTTGAAACGCGATTTTCGTACGGGTTGCAAGTCAAGAGATGATGATGCATTGAAGAAGTAACCAACTGTCATGAGGGAAAGCGTGCATGGTGAGAGAAATAGGTCCCGGCAGGAAATTGGATTCTTTCCCTGCTAACTAAATTACGTAGGCTAAAATGCGTTTCAATTTCGGGATGGATACATATTTCGACTCGTGTGTTATACGTAACAAACTGGAATTTGGAGTTACGTATGTACGTTACGTATCCAACTAATTTTAAGGTTAAACGTCGTTAATTTAATATTTATTAAGTTCCATTCAGTCAAAACGGTGCAGATATTAGAATTGTATAGTGAAATTGTGGAATTGCTTTATGTTGAAGTTTTGAAATTTTTAGAAATTTTACAAATGTTTTTTTGTATATTTTTAATGCCTTTAATTGTAATCTTGCAAAATTGGATAATAATTCTAGAAATCAGATCATTTATCATGGTTCTTCTTGCAATAATTATGATACTTGTTCCACGATCTTAATGCATATGCGTAATGTGCGGGAGTAATTATTTCCTTGATTTTTTCCCTTCCTTCCTTCCTAAACACATATTTTCTCAGGGAACACAAAACGAAGTAATGGATGGACAGCAGAAAGCAACAACATTCCATTCGATTTCATCCTTAGGATTCCCCTTCTCCGATATATTTATTTCCCGATTTCACACCACCACCACCACCACCATTTCGACTTTCTCTACCCTCCAGCACCAGCCACGCACATAACTCACCTTTTATTGCGTTCCACTCCATTGAGCTCTAATGAACTTGTTTCGTCCAAGCTCAATCTCAACTGCCCATCACGAAGACGACGACGACGACTACGACGATGTAAACGGGGATGAGAACCAGGCTCATTTCACTCTATTGAATTGCCATGAAGAAGAAATGAGCTGGTGGTGGTGGTGGTTTGTTTAGCTGACTTTCTCCATTTCCCATCCCCCAAGAAGAACAACGAACCCCGCGGAGTAGATATACGCAAAAGTCTCACTAGTCTCACTTCCTGGCTTGCTACTTGACTTGATTAACTTTTTTGAACCGGATTCGATTGAGAAATGCTTACGTTCGGGGAGCGGAAAAGTGTTTAAGGATAACGGGAAATTTGAACCATTAGAGTAAAATTTGTGGGGTTTTTCACCCTTTTCTTGAGCTAAAGGATGATGATGATGTCATGATTTTGTTGTGTTTGTGTGTTGCAGGGAACCTCCCGTACTGAGGGACTTTGACCATGAAGATGTCATCCTGCATCTTCCTCCGGGCTATAAGGTCAAGGAAATTGCCTGGCTGTCCGTTTGGTGTCGGAGATTTACGGTGAGTTTGGGGGTAGAATTGAGAGTTTAGATGATGTAATGAAGATGTCAATAATATTTTGTGTAAAGTATCTCTAAAATTTGGGAATAAGCGGATCGTATTGAAATACAAGGTGAAAAGAGGTTAAATTTAATTAATACTTAACGTTAGCAAGAGGAAAAGTAGGTATCTCTGAAAATCTGAATGCCTGAAAAACTTGGATCATTGCTAAATCAGTGGAAGACACATTTAGTTACACTAACCTCAATTTTACCAATTAATTCAATTTACTCCAAAAAATTATTTAAAGAGTTTAACTTATGCATTTTCACCAAACTCTAAATTCTCCCACCACCACGACCATTTTCGAACACTTTTCACCCACCTAAAGCCTCCCGGAGAAAAGGTAGCAGTTCTTTTCTAGGACAGAATAAATTTTAAGCGTTTCCCAAAATGGTGGTGGCAATGGTTGGTGGACTGGTGGTGGTGGTGGGTAGATGACAGTGGGATATTTCCAGTCGGATATTTTTATGAGAAGTTGACAGAATTGGGAGAAGACGAAGAAGAAAAGTGAGAATTGAGAATCCGTGTTCATTCACGCTTCACCGGACCCGAAAAGAAATGAACAATCCGATCCACGCCAACCAGATTCTTGCCACACACGACGAGAGAAAGTCTCGTCTATGTGTCCCATATATACAAAAACGCCTCCCCGCGTATGTGTGCGTCCTGCTCACACTTCTTGCCAAACCTAAAACCCAGTCGAGGAGAAATTTCCATTTGGGTTTGTCTTCCACTTTCACTACCCTTCCAGTAATATTACAATTTCTCTCAAAAACTGAGAAATACTCGGCTCCCGAGATGTAATCAATGGTTCAATCAAAGGTTGCACCAGTCTCAATCAACATTTAGGAATTTTACAAATGAATTTTTCTTTCTGCACTTCAAAAATCAATGTCGCTCATGGAATTAGAAATTCATACCTACGTCTTTTTTTCCTCTCTGGAACTAAATCCTCTTACGTTAACGATCCTCGATTTTTTTAATACGGGGTATAAAAAAGCTGTAATTGTCCCCTTACTGCCTGCTTCTTGCTGGATGGGTGACACGTCTATTACTGCGTGCGGAAGCGGGGAAAAATGGTCCAGCTATTGAGGCGAGAGTGAGAAAGATTGATGAATTTTTCATATTTCCATCATCACATCTTCTTCGCAAGCTTTTTTTCTTTTTGGAAGGAGGAGCAAGTGAATGACACAAAGATTCATTTCCACTTTTCAACACTTTCCTCCTCTTGACTTTGGAAGAATAAGATGGGGTGAAAGTGGGCTATATAAGAAAAAAAGTGTCACCAGACCATGAAACTGGAATGGGACGGAATTATATGAATATGTTTAAAACAAATTTTGGCAAAAAAAAACAAAATTGCAAAATTTTAAAGGTTAAATGCCAAATGTGAGAATTTTTGTGAATTGAGAGAATTAAAGTTTAGTAGATCTTTTTTTCGTAACGGGTTAATAAGAATTTGGAAGAATTTTTAAAAAAGTTGAAGACAAAAGGGTGAAATTTCGCCCATCACGTTCAAGGATATGAAAGATGAGTTGTTTAGTGAAGCAAGAAATGAGATCTGGGCGCTGTGAACCGCAACCAAGCAGCGTCCGTCTGTCCGTCCGCTATGCCGCTCCCTTTTTTCATCGTCTTTATTACTATACGTTCCTACATACTTCATAAAAAAAGTTGTCTCAATTTAAACCTGATCTTAAGCAAGGTTGATCTCCCCGTTTTTTCGGCACGTTTCAATCCTACCATATTTTTGGGTTTTTATAAAAAAGAGCATTTTCTGAGCTATAGAAAAAATCTAAATTATTTAGTTCCACGTGGAGTGGAATTTTTCTAGAAAATTGTAATTTTTCAGACAACGACTACTTGTAAATGCTCCAATGTTACATATTTATTTCAAGTTAGGCATGTAATAAAATCATGCATTTCATTTCATTAATTACCAAATTGTAATTTTTCAAACTTTTATTTAAACAACAACTCGAAAATATTTGGCATGTAATGAAATCTTGTATTTCGTTAATTACCACTCTTAAAAGGAGTAAATATGTGCATTTTCTTCCTTCTTTCTACAGCTTTCTCCCTTCACTCGATATTAATTTGTAAGCTTAAATTCTTCCTCTTCATGTAATTACTTTTGCCAAAGTGGAGCTTTATTTTGCACGTAAATAAGACTACTTATTTAAAATCTAGCCTTTTCCTTTTATTACTCGCATTGCATACAAGTACTTGACAAATAATAGGGAAATGATGCATACATACACAAGTTTTGTGTAAGTGGAGACTCCAAAAGTAAATTAATGACAAAAGGATACAAGAGTAAGTTTGAGTGTGTTTTGTTTTGTATCATTGAGACACTCGTCTCGTCCTCCTTCCTGAACAGGATTTCAGTAGCACCATCGTTCAGAATTAATTAGACGGCTTTGCTTTCTCCTCGCGTTATTAGGAGGGAAACAATGGGGAAGAAATCTGATACAATTATTATTGAGCAGGTTCGCTCTGTCTGGTTTTGCGATGAGGAGATCAGAGAGCAAAATACGCAGACAAAAAGTTGTATTGTTTTGTAAAATCTTGTAAAAGAGAAAATTTATGAAAGTGTAAAGTTTTTAGGAACTGTAAATTTGTTATTTTTTTACGCAAAATTCCCGATCTAAATTACATAATTAAATATTTAATATTTTCTAGGTAAATTTTGGCGACGTCAAAATCCCGAAAAATCTCAAAGTGCCGCAACGCAAAGTCCTTCCTGAATTTAAGCGTCTCGCCCATGGGGTTCGTTCCGGAAACATAACTATTCTCGACTCTAGAACGTTTTACATTCCGAACCTGTACTACGATGGAGGTGCGTATATTTACATATTTTAAAAAATTCTGTCATGTAATATTGATGGTTTTTTTGAAAATTGTTTTGAATTTTTTTTTTCTAAAATCACCAACTTTCAGCCGGACCAGATGCTTTCTTTTGGGTCGGGACTGGCACCGAGCCTCACACCGGGGGGAGAAAAATCCCCAATGAGAAAGGAAGGTTTGTAAATATATAGACACAAAAAACTGATCCGAATTTCCCATCATTTCTAAAAATCTACTTTTATTAAAATTGCAGCCTGGATGTTCTCTCGGGATATGAAGGTACGGTACTTATGTACATTTAAATATTTGCTCGAAGTGCAAATCTCACTGAGGGTATTCGTTATTTCTTCGTATCCGTAGTATCGTAAAATAGTTTACGAAGATAAAACAAGGGGTCAGGTTTCGTAAAAATCGTAAGCGTAGTAACGCGATTTTCGATGAGAAAATCTTACGACGCTTACAAAATCTCGTAAGCGTCGTAAGTTATTTTACGATACGAAGAATACTAAGGATACGAAGAAATAATGAATACCCTCACTATTTATTAAATGGTCACAAATTAAATTCTCATCCTCTGATCTACTATTTTCAGGGGAGGATATCGAGATTACGGTAAGAAACTGAACTATTAGAAAATAAAGGAAAACTTTCTTCTTTTATTGATTGTTGTAACAAATTTACTGAACTGGAGCGGTCCATGAAAAAGCAAGACAACGTGCTTCTGGCATAATAAAGTTGACCAATTCCGTCCTTATTTCCTCAATTGACCTAGTGTATGAATCCAGAAATGACACCTCCAAATAGTTCAAGTTCCATAGTCGCTAAAATTGTAAATATTAATATATTTAATAAATGCATGGGAATCTTACTGCTAAAATTTTAATTTATGCAAATTTCTCACCCCTTTCGCAATATTCACAATTTGTTTGATCCGGGGGAGAAACGATCGAAGTTCAGCCTCGGCAGCCTTTACTTCCGTCTGTCGAGAAATCACCACAGCGTCGTCATCATCCTGTTCCGACTGGAGAATGCGTAGGGCCCTTAATGAGATCGTCTTACGTTTGAATTCCTCCAGCCAGATCATGACATCTTCCAGCTCTTTTTCAATCAAACGTAGCTAAACAAACATAAATTTGAACCGGTTCAAAATCCATATTTTGCATAAAATTCTTTACTATTTGTGCAATTTTAACTTACTGGAATGCTGCGTCCATCCGTCTGCCATTGTTGGCGTTGCAACCTCTTCTGCTCCTCCACTCCACCTCTGTTAAATCCAGGAATGACCCCAGCACGACGCTTAGCCTCGACTCCCTTCCTTCTGAGAGCACTTTGGAATTCTGGGGGGTTTGGGGGAAGTGGACAATTCTCCCGCTTATGATTGTCCTCTCCGCAATTGTAACACATTTCGATGGACGCTGAATGATTAATATAAGGAAATTATTTATTGCACCGGTGCAAATTTTATATTTACTTACATCGAACTGTGTACTGAGGGTCGAGATTAATTAATTCTCGACCTTCTGGGCAGTTATACTTCGTATCTGAAAATAAAAAAAATTGTCACCATGTGATGTAAAATCTAAAAACATATGACAATAAAAACTTACGATTCATTTTGAAGCATTTGGGACACACTGGTGGATGATGAGGTACTAACATCTTGCACCGGTGCAATATTGAATAGAGCGTTTACTTTTATTTTGAAAGTTAATTGGAGACAGAAATAAATTATTTTAATTCTGGAAAATCAGTAAGGAGATAGAGAAGCTGAATGCATTTGAAATGTGCGGTCCCAAACTCAATGATATTTCGTCCCGTATGAAAAGTTGCACGTGCTCGCTCGCTGCTTGGCTGAGTGATACCAAGCAGGCTTCTTGGATTGGTCGGGGAGAATCGACCAAGCCATGAAGCCTGATGCCAAGCAAACAAGTTGAAACTTGATACGAAATGAGGGCATTTGTTGAGCATCAGCAAACGAAAATCGTTCAGCCATTCGGAGTTTGGCAACTGAAGGGATTAGTCGATTTGAAAAGTGCTCCCACAAAAATTTTAAAAAAATCAAGTTTTCCTTCTTGAAGCAGTGACGCTTTACGGATTACGATGCAGACGGACGATAGTTCATCGGTGCCTATCGACATGTAAGTAAACCTAGCCCCCTTCTCCTCTCCCTAAACATAATTAATTAAAACATGCAATCTTGACCGGTCAAGTTTCTTTGTACGTTCGTAACTTAAGGATTTAATTATTTTTGTTATTAATAGTGATCCTGATGATAGTGGGCTCGTGTCCGAAGATGTGGAATCGAGTGACGAATATGTAATGAGGGTCGATAGAAGAGGACGGAGATCGGGAGTAATTTACTCGGATTCGGAGGATGAGGAAGACGAAGACGATGACGACTTGGACCGGTCCAGCCCGGATACTCAATCTGGCTCATCCAGCGATATGACCGCGGACTTGGACCTTCCAGAAAATTTTCACCTCCGACGACATGGAAGGGTAAATTAGTTATTATTTCATTCTGTACTTTGTCCAATATGAATAAATGTAAATAACAATCATTTGAACGGGTTCAATAAATTTGTTTACATTTCAGCTTTCATGGAATCTCCGGGAATTGCAACGTCGTGAGGAGTTGATCGATTGGCTAAAGGAGGTGGAAAAGAATCCATTAGCAGGACGGGCAGCATTTGATCAACGACGGGAAGAGCTTGAGTTGGCAGCTAATTGGAGACAGCAAGATGGGGAACATATGGAGATTTATTTTGATATCCATATTCCACGTAAGGAAGTATAATTTTATCTACAGTTTGTGGATAAATTAATAGTTTTTGTTGAACCGGTTCAATGATTTAATTTTATAGGTTCGCGAGTAAAGGGTTTCTATGTCTTCAAATCTAATAGAAGAAGGAATGCCTTAGCGTCTTATTACGCTGCACAAATGAGATTAAGTGTATCGCAGGCCAGATCCGATGCAAGCGAATCTTATAGAAACCCGGAACACCCTCTTCATGACGTGCTTAAAGAAAGTGTACAAACATCAGACGAAGCTAGGCCCCCCATGGACATCATATACGTAGCATCTCTAATTCATCCGGATAACATGGGTGTTGATTTATGGGAAACTGTTAAATCAATTGAACCGGTTCAAAATGGAAATAAGTTTGAAAACTATATCGGAATATACAATGGAAACAAGGGTCGTTTTGCAATGAGAGCTTCGAACTTTAAGGCTGCCTGGGAAGCAGGCACAAAAATAATTTCTTAAAAACGATGTTTAGGGCTCATTTTTGGATAGAATGGAAAACGGATCGGTAATTCTGTGGAGAAACCCATTCCCCACAGAATTACCGATCCGTTTTCCATTCTGTCCAAAAATAAGCCCTAAACATCATTTTAAGAAATTCACTCTCCCAGGCACGGTTAATCGGACAGGGGGTAAGCGAGAAATCTACAACAAAACCGTTGGCAGTGACGACCCTGAATATTGCATTGAGAAAAACCTACTTCAAGCAACTTTGCGGGGCCTTTTAAGACGGCATTATTACCTAAAAGCCAGACTATAGTGAACGATTTGCATATAATTTTTAGCCCAAACCAGGGCTTATGTAATCGACCTGTCCGTCTGTCTGTCTTTCGATAACTCTCGAACGACTTAGCAGATTTTTACCAAATTTGATACATACATGTATCTGGGCAATCCAACGACCAAGATGTTCGAATTTCGAAGATGGGTTCTATCAGAAAAGATTTAGACCAGTGTGGGTTATATGAGTGGGGTATTATGCACCAAAATTTCAAAATTGTGATAGAAAGCTGAAATTTGGCATGTAGCGTGATACTGGCTTATAATGGTAGAATGTGAATTGAAATTGGAAAATTTTTCAACCGAGAGGGTGACCCATACCGATTTTCAGAAATTGCCGTAAGAAGCTAAATTCCGGCACGGTGATACTTGTTAGCATGAAATTTTATCGTAAATGGACGTTAAACAATTTAAACCTACAGGGAAGACTTGATATAGCCAAGTCAGGCCAAGTTGGGGATATTCTTATAATTAGTATCAATTAACAGCATATGTAGCAAATTTCCACTTGATACGATGATTTAATAAATCCGTGTGGGTCACCCAATAAGTCCTCCAGATGAAAATTGTTCCTATTTTAATTCATATTGTTCAATTAGGATCCATCACCAACATCTCTACCAATTTTCGGCTTGATTTAATGAATTTCAAAAATAGGTATGGGTCACCCCATAGGGTCACTCCAGATAAAAATTTGTCAAATTTCAATTCATATTCTTCAATTTGGACCAATAAGTAACTTCCATGCCAAATTTCACCTCTATATGACCATTTTGAAAAATAGGTATGGGTCACCCCATAGGGTCTGTCCAGATGAAAATGTGTCTAATTTCAATTCATACTCTTCCGTTAGTAGCCATTAGCCACCCCCAAACCAAATTTCAGCTCGATTGAATGAGTTTTAAAAATCGGTATGGGTCACCCCCTAGGATCCCTCCAGATGAAAATTTTTGAAATTTTACTTTCAATTCTTTCATTAGAAACCATTATCAACCTCTGTACCAAATTTCAGCTTTCTACGACAATTTTGAAATTTTGGTGCACAATACCCCACGCACTCCAATGACCCCCACCGGTCAACCACTTGACCGATCATGCCCATCTCCGAACTCAACCTTACTTTTTGCCCGAAGAAGAAGTATGCAAAATTTCAAGTCGATAGCTTGTGTTTAAAGAGAGTTATCGTGCGCACAGACGGACGGACAGACAGACATCTTGGCAAATCTATAAGGCCATCTTAAAAGGCCCAAAAACTTATTTTATGCAACTCCACAAATACAAAAGAAATTGGAGAAGGATTCTTGTTGGTAAATATTACTTATTAGTTACACTGCTCTCAACGTTAGACCGGTCTAAATAAATATTAATTCTTTAAATCCAGGCATACGGATTGAAATTCAACCAAATCCATGGAGTCGAGCGCTACATCATAACGGAAGCTTCAACCCCACCTGTCGACCTCATCAAGAAAGCGCATAAATATGCCGTCGATGGAGTCCCGATGTTTGAATTCGTTGAAGATGAAGATCTGGACCGGTCCAGCCCACCCCTCTGGGCTACCCTGGACCAAGTGACTACGCTCCCTTACACGATCTGTAAGAAAGATCTGATAATTCGATATGATCCGAACTTCCCTGATGACAAGCGTCACTACAAATCGTTCAAAAATTTTGATCGATTGGTTAAAGCATTTGGATATCCCCCTGAAGAGTATTTTGTGACCGTTGATGGTTCTCGATATCACCTCCGATATTAATTTTATACAATGATACGACAATCTCAAGTGTACGAAATGAATTTTTTTAAATTTGATCTAGTTATACATATAACATTTTATAATATTGTACGATGAATTGTTTCTGCGTAATATAGCGATATACGTGTAATTGGAAAATGGCTTTTTTGACTTTATTTCTTGTCATACGTAATACATATGTATCGTCATATCGGGATCCAGTTTAGTAAATCGTATTGAGCACTTTGAGACTTTGAGATTTTACAGGGTATTGATACAAGTTGGTGTTAATTTGTTAGAAATTAATGGTATTATTTGGATTATTTTGTATTATCATTCCAGTTGCCCGAGGAGTTGACAGTGTATGACATTGATTGGCTCTCGATGTGGTGCATTTCGTAAGTTTCATAATATTGCCCATTCTCAAATATTTGCACAGAGACAAGTCATGCTCCAATAATTAGGTGGCAAATAAATAGTAATAAATATATCAGGTTTACATGTACTGTAACATGCATACACTAATAAAATGCTGGGACCCGACCTTTCCAATATTTGTGCCGGCAGCTATTTAAATTAATTTCACTACAAAATTTCATGATGCATGTCTCGTATTCATACATATTTGCATAACGAGTTCATTAAACCCACTTTATCAACAATACGTAATAATATCCAATAAATGTATGTACACATTTTTTTCAGCTACAAACACAATTTCGGGCATGTCCTCATCCCCAAGCAGGGTTTAGACGTTCCTCCGTCCCTGGACAAGTTTAAGCGAGCGGTGAAGGTAATGCTGATCAATTACTTGAACACCTAATTAATACTTAATTAGAGTAACAATTACGCAAAATATTTCATCATTGCTATTTATTAAAAATAATAACTTGTAATTAATTTTCTCACTTACACGCTGCTCTGTTTTCTTCATCTACTAATGACTCCATAATAACAGTCAAGTAGCCGGAGCACCCCGTACCCCATTCCATATCATATTTATACCAATACCCGAAATAATCACCATCATCATCACCACAATAATAATAACTTTAATAAAAAGAGCTCTAGCACGGTGGCCACGGTGAGTGAGTCGTGGCGCTTTAACTGCTTGGATCATGGGGTCGAAAATTTCCAGAAAAAAAGTAATAAGTTTTTTTTGATGTCCAAATTTTTCCAGCCTAAAGCACAACGCCCGAAAGACTCGTACTCCAATTGTCGCGACCTACTCAACAAGGATGTCCAACTGCAGTGGGAGGTGGACGGCGAGTACGTCAAGTTCAAGCTGTCTGGGCGGATATCGGAAAAACAGTGGGTGGCTTTGGGTAAGTGAGAATGACGATGGCAGGATATGCAAATTAATATGCAAATTAAGGGGAGGAGGATGCATTAAAAAGCTAGAGCATTTTATTTCTTGACAAATGTAAAGGCTTCAGTCCGATGAAGGGGAGGACGCAGATGGTGGGGGCGGATGCGGTTGTCGTCTATCATACGCCAAATCAGAGGGAAAAGTTCCATGCGGATGATTACTACATGTCAGCAAAGTCACAGGTGAGGACATGTTTGGCAGTGAAAATTGCATACTAAAAATTTAGAGAGTGTACAATTATCGATGTGTTCATTTCGTAGTGCGATGGCAAAGATGGAGTTTGTCCGGATAAAAGAATCGGTGGGAAGAATGATGTCCAAGTATTGGGTGGCGCAAGAAGGAACGGCGTTACCACCGTACAGTTCAGAAAGCCGATGAAACCAATGGACAAGGTGCGTCGTTTATGTATTTGCATATATTTCTTGAACAAAAACATATCTAATCATGTTGATTTCTGCTCTATGTAAAGAACTGGGACATGGCACTGGACGGCGAAGAGATTAATATTTTCGTAGCGATCGGCAACTTGAATGGGAGGAATGAGGCGAATTATCATTTTGGACAGAGGACAGGTTCTGAAGGTATCCATCAACTTTTTGTCTTACGTAATGTTTCATGGGTCTAAATAGTTGCATATATGTAATTATTGATGAATGCACAAAAAAATCATTGTTTTTGGAAACCAAAATGCTTTTGAAATATATTTCCCTTTTAAAATGCTGCTCACAAACAAAAATCTCATCACAACCACGAACATCATGTGGTTAACTATCATAACGAGAAACGAACCTCGCCAGAAGGTAAGGTCGGAAAATGATGTACAAAATTTGTGAAATTTTCAAAATGTAGCGGACAATTTGTATTACTTTATTTTTTATTTTGAGCCTTTTTTATGGTGAAGATTTTTTAATCAAAATCTGGTTTATCATGCAACCCTTTATTTTTCAGAGGATATCCGAATCGCTCCCAAAGGAACGAATGACCACTCTTGCATCAAACTGATTGACGAATCTCCGGCCGAAAACGGTCCAAGTCTTCGCCCCTGGCCATCCAACATTATCGAGGGTGTGACCAACTTTACGGCAAGGATTGGCCCCACTGGGGGCAAACGGGGCTACACCGTCATCACAGGTGGGTGTCACTAACCAACAACTTTGGACTAATTTAAACTGAACTTTACAATTTCACGCTGCAATTAAAGAGGGAATCATAGATGGTGAATGGGATTTGTTACCTGGCACAGGTTTCTTTCTATGCTTTCTCTACTTTCTCTTTTTTGTGAAATTATGATGTTTTTTATTTTTGAGAAATTTTGATGTACACTTTCTTCATAAAATATTCACAATTATTTTAGGAAATCCATCCTGGGGTATCGCTTGGTTCATAAATGATCAACTGATTCCAGAAATTTATGTCGAGCGTGGTCAAACTTATCACTTTTGGGTGGAAGGAGGTGTGTACCGTAAACTTAAAATTTCGCCCTAAAAAACCTGCACTTGAAACTAAACAAATTAAATATTTTCAGGGGATGATAGTGGAAATCCAGCCAAATACCACCCATTCTACATTACAAACAGCTCCGAGGGGGGTTACGGTCAGAAGAGTGAGTATGAACAAAGCCAGCAAAAGGTGTACGCCGGTGTGGACTATGACATCGCTGGGTATCCATTTCCAACGGCAGGTAAGAATCGGGTCGTTTCAATTTTGAATTGACCAAAACAAAAATACTAGGATTTTAACAACAATTAAATCAGTTTACGCAACTAATTGATATTTTATTCACATTGAATTTAAATTAACTGATAAATATATTCCACACCTGATTTATTCTAATAAGCAAAAAAATCCATTATATTTAATAGTGGAACATTAAGCTTACAAAAGGAACGGGTAAAAAATATGACATGCAGCAAGGAATGATTTTAACCATGTTTGAATAATAATTTCGACTAATTTTGATTTGAATTTGATATTTCATTATATATGTTAAGAATTTACTCCCAATCTTGTCGAATTTTTCGATATAAATGTATGTATTTACATGTCAAACTTTCACTTTAGCTGGACGATACTGTGAATGGGAGCACAAAACGGTGGACAAATCCGCGACATCAGAAACATTCCAGGACTTTATGAAAACGCTAAACTTGGTTTGTGAGGGTGAGTGTTAATTATAAAATTTCCAAAAAAAATTATGAAACTTTTGTGTTCCATAATAATTCCAAATTATTTTTTATCTTCATGAAATAGACGGACGTCCATCCCAACTTTCCTGGACGGTGTCAATGGACGCGCCTGATCTCTTGTACTATCAGGTAAGTCAGTCAATAATCAATTGATAAGAACTTATCTTATAATAAATATACAACAACTGAAACAATCGATACTTTCACTTGCAGTGCTACACCCACAATAATCTCGGATGGAAAATTCACGTAGTCAACTCAGGGGAACGGTAATTAAATTTAATAAAGATTTTAGAGAAGGAGGTTTTTACAATTATTCAAAAATTTAACCCTTTTAAAATTAGGGTAACTCGTGACACGCTAAATTCATCTTCGCCATCGGGAGGAGCGACGCTGAGCGTCCTTTCCCTCGCTATCTCGTCATTCCTTGTGATCACTGCTGCCATATAGATAATCTACTTCTCGTGGTCGTCATATACATAATAATTAATGGTTAATAATTATAATTATTGTAAAAAAATCCATCGTTATCATAAACTATTAAGCATTTAGCTAATCGTAAGAAGAGCACACTCAGCTCTTGGAAAGAGAGTAAAATGAAATAGTCACGTCGCTGCGAATAATATGTAAATATGTAAAATATAGAAATATGTAAGTACCGACCTCATAAAATAATTGAATGGGAATGTTTCCGTAATTCCGAATAAGCTGCAGAAACTCGTAGATACATTCTAGATAGAAAAATTCACAATTTTTTGTCAGCATTTCAGTACGTAATTCTTACAGAAAAGGTAAAGTATGATATCAATATAATGTCAATCAATTCATAGGAAACTGTCAAGGAAGACAACAACTCATTAAACTTGTTGCTATTTATCCTGCACAGTTATCGAATTTTATCTTATCATCATGATTAATCGGAAAGTAATCAAATCCAATCCAACGTAGTGAAAGTCAAGTTTTAGGTAAGGATATGCATTCCTAAAAATCAACCCGGTACAAATACAAATCATTTAGTGCATAATCAATCAATCGAAAGTTGTTATCATTATCATGATCGTTTTGCCCACCCACCCAACTCAAATTTAATACAGGAAGAATTCATCAACCAATTTTTACTAGGACATTGGTTAGTTTAATAAGAGTGAAAGTCAAATAGAGCTGGTTCCTCCACTTTTTATGATCTTTTTCCTAAATAAGCATACATAATACTGATGTATTTAGGTGTTTTTATAAAAAAAGATAATGAGGACGTATTACTTTGGTATTAATAGTTAGGTTACTTCGTGTCAGAATTATGCCATGTTGCATGTTGCAGTTACAAATGAGATTCATGTTATAAAAATATGTACTTAAAAAGAATGATCGCGGACAATACTGTAGAAATGAGATGAAACTATTTAGTTTAGTAATTATTATAAGTAATTAAGTAATTAAGGTATGATAATTAATACATATTTCACGGTACGTATTAACCTAATCTTCTGTGAGTTATCGACAATACACTAAAACTGAAACTGATTGAATATGGATGACTTGATTAATACAAATCACTGTCCTTCCAAAAAACAAAACAAAACCGAGAACAATAAGTGGAAAGCTCGTAACGATGCTGTTCTGACAATAAAACTTTAGCGTGTAATGATGAACCTAATTAATAAGGAGAACATAATTAAGAAAAGTATTAAATTTTTATTCTCATTTTGCATTTCAACTCTTACAATTTGATTCTGTATTCTGTATCCTATTGTGACGTGGCCTTTCTTCTAGCCAAGTGGTTTATTGTCATGTTTTTTTTGTCTTCAAAATTACGAACTGAATTTTACATTTGGACTGTTCTTAAATTTATTAGGATTAAAAAGTACATAGTTTTATAGGATAAGTAATAAAAACCAGTAATAATAAATAGCTGTATGGACAATACTACACCTACTCATAGGTTAATGCTGTGCAGACAATAATTGCAAACAGCTTCGTGATTAATGGACGAATAAGTCATAAATTATGTCAAGTTAGTTTTAATTAATGAATAGCTAAATATGTATTAAAAATTATGGATAGTGTGATTTAGAATGAAAGTTGTAAACCGAATCATGATAAAAGTATGATAATAATTACGACGAGTGTAAATAGATGTACATATTTTTGCAGATTGATCATCGATAATCTAATCATTTTTATGAGAAGGTATGTGAGATTCAGAGTCCGATTGTAATGAAGGACTTAAAATGTGTGAGTTGTTTAATGTCAATGTAAATCAGTGTATCGTACTATTTACTAATTAATTAAGATGGGATCTTATCCCATCATGTAAAACGGTACCATCTCAGTTTTACTATACATAAATAAATAGTTGTTGTAGCTAAAATAATAAAATTATTGCGTACTTTTAAGGTGCTTCAGAATGTAAAAAATACTCTTGAAGGAAAAGTCATTATCGGATTTCGGATTAGAAAAAAATGGAATTGTGAATTTGATTTGTTTTATAGAAAAATCCATTCCGGATGTGTTTTTATTAATAAAATGTCCTCGATTTTTGTCCCAGAAAAGACTACGAGTAACAAATTATTTCATGAAAACTTGGAAGAAGGAAATCGGAACATAATTTCAAAAGCTTATTTATATTTATGATAATCAGTTTCATCGTCGCATAAAATACATGGCCATAGCTTGAGCACCTTTCTTTGAACTTTCTAATAACGACTTTTCCAAAGTGTCCAAGTGACTGTCCTTAATCACAGTTCCGGAATCGTTACCGCCCTCATCTGCACTTCGTAGTCCCTGCACGTAACCGTACGAATCTGACAATTTCAACAGTCTCTCCTTAAAAACCTGGACAAAATTAGCAAATATATTTTTTTTAATTAAAAAATAAGCAAAAATCTAAAAATTCACACTTATCAACTCATCATTTATTTCACCTCTGGAAGAATTTCTGCAATCTCTTCCGAGTCCTTCGTCGGTAACCAAGCCAAGTGGAGACCAGTTTGGTAGAAATGTGGCGAAATTCTGTTCAGGTCGACGACAGTAGGATCTGCTTTTAGAATGTCCCTACACAACAAAAATAATTATTTAAAGTAAATAATTATCTATGAACTATATCAACGTTATCGTAAAATGTTGTTTTACCGATATCTTCCCCCGTATTTATGGGGAACTCGAACTGTCGCATAACCCTTTTTCACCAACGCCCTCACGGTCCAAAGTGGCAACTCCAACTCGGTCTGGGCTGGTAAGTCCGTTACTCCCAAGGATGGGTCTAAATATCCTATAATTCCAAAAATATTCGCAATATTATTATTAAAATTGTAATAATAAATGACAGAAAATGAATTGATAGTTACCAAATCCCTTTAGCTCCACCATGGTTCGACACGGGATCTTGATCTGGGTGGCGGATATCTCTTCCAGCGAGAGTGGGTGTGGTGCGTAAGCGATGGGGGCAAGAAAGTTCATTTTTTCTATTAAATTTAATTAAACTTTGACAATAATAATGTCGAAATGAAAATTGCCCAGTAGGCAAATGTGGTCCCGCTACCGCTTTTTGCTCAGAAATGAGATTTTGGTTTTCATGAGAAAATATGAACAAAGGTTTATTGCATGCATGATTTTCTGTTATGAAATTCTATTTGTTAAAAATATTCTGTGAAAATGATGTCTTTTTGGTTATTTTGTATTTTTAGCATTTATTTTATGCTATTTTTCAATTATATGCAAATAAAGCCTTCAATTTTATAAAACAAAACATTTTCAGATAACACTTTATTTTAAAATTTCAAACAACACAGAAAAAAATACGAAGGGAAAAGATAGTAACAAAAACAATTATTAAGTTCGGGGCCTTTTTTTCATCAGTGGACTCTGGTAATGCCTTCCTTATCCCTCGTCCGACCTCGCAGCCTTGGTATCATGCTGACATTGTTGACATTGTTGTTGATCGTCTCTGACCTTCGTCTCCTCACGCAGATGACAATGATGGCAATAATTATGGCGATAAGAAGCACCACACCGATCACAATTCCAGCAATTTCCCCAGGATGGAGAGTTTGCAGTTCTGCAAAAAAGTGATAAGAATGTAAACTTGAAAAATTTTGCAAAAAAATCGCACAACACTCGCCAAAAATTAATTACGGTCACCTCTAACGTCCACAACGCAGGATTTAAGTGCAGTATGGTGGTGAATATCGGTCGCGATAAATTGGACGTATGGGGTGCAACACGATATTTTCAGATAGACTCTGACTCGTCCATGTTCTCCTGGTGTGAGGAATAGTCCTTCCGGAAGTGAAGTTATCTTTTGATTGGGACCTGTGTTTCAAAATATTTTACCAATCGTGTTTTTATTTTGAGATTTTTTTTGCTCATCATACCATAATTATTAAGAATTGTCGCATAAGCGGTCCACTCCCAGCGGAAACAGTCTATCGGGTCGTCTCTGTATCGACATGTTCCTGTGACGTCTTTGTCGACGCAGAATGGTTCCAGGTCATAGTTCGCTCCGTCATACTAATACATATTTTATGGGATAAATTTTATTTTAAGTGCAATGAAAAATAATTTATTTACGGGATCTCCAAAAACGAAGGAACGCTGAACGCTGTCCCGTTTCCCCCGAGCGAGAACTGTGATCATGTTTGAGGAGGAAACAGACGCCACCGATTTGGGTGTGGACGGGTTAATGCTCATTATTCTTCCACTGGATAATGATGACCGTTCAAATATTTGTGATTCTGCTTGTTGTTGTTGTTGTTGCATGCGTGGCATTGGAAAAGTGAACGGAATTTCCGCAGTGGCACCGACGCCAAGTGGAAATCTGAGATAGTAAAGATAAATCTCAGCAAATTGACTATTGTCATTTAGAAATATTGTTTGAGTGTGACATGTTTTTTTACTCTGATGGCTTTACTGGGATACCATGACCTTTGGAGTCTAGAATGATCATTTGAATAAATTCATCTTGTGCTCCGTTATTACTAACTCGAATATAAGACACGGATTCATTTTTGACATTGCTCAACCCCATCTACAAAAAATTGTGAAATTGGAATACGTTAAATTAATATTTGCATTGATAAATAGCAAAATCGAATGAATACATTAATGGTCAAATGCGGATTTAGAGGTGTAGTCCTTTGGAGATTGGAAGCTAATGGATCTAAAATCGAGATTTTAAAGGTCAAGTAATTTTTAAAAATTTTCAAAAAATGGGACTCACCCATTATCCTGGGCTGCTGCTGGGACCGTCGTTCATTATTATTATTGTACTTTTGCAACCTGCTTTCTCTCTGATTTTCATCCATCGGCACGAAATTCTGAGTAATTCCAGGATTTGAAAGGGACACTGATGATCGTCTTGGTACGAATTGTTGCGTGAGGGGGAGTGGTATTGCGCCCGAGACTAGATTTGGCCCTGGTGGTCGTGGGAGGGGTTGTTGGTAAAATGAGACTCGGTTGTTTCTACTTGTTTCTACTGGTTCTAGAAAAATTTGGATAATCAAAATTTCTTAATAGATATTTTTCCGAGTTATTTTTAATACCAGAAAATACCTCGCTGTGGAATTTGTGATAGCGAAAGTTGTAAACTGGACAGCCAATAAATTGTTATTAGGACCCCCGCGTGGCTTAAGTTTCTCTTAACCACCCCCAATTTTAACGGGAGTAACATTATTTTCACACCCACAAATTCAAACGACTCCTTAATAATTTATTATTAAACCACGTATCTATCTATTAATTAAAATTACACGTATTTAGCACTAAACTCACACATTGCATATGTACACGGAAAGCGAGAGAGAGAGTGAATACCCAAGATTATTAACGCACTAAACGGAACCGGGGACATGAGTGGAATGGAAGTGCAATGGGGTCACAGACAAGTGGTATCGATGATACGGAGTCAATAACTAAAATCATAAAAGATCACTCTGTGACTGTGACGAAGCAGGGATTAAGGAAAATGTGGATGCAAAAGCATGCGACATTATTGCATGAAAAAGCATCATACAACATAGGACAAAATTAACACTTCTGAAGGAAGATGAACCACAATCTGAGTAATAATGCCATACTTTTTAGCTGTACACCATACCACAAAACACACAAGTAAAGTTAATGTCTTTTGTTAATTTGTGTATATTTATTTATTGTAAAAGCTACCCTAATGATGTGCCTTGTCGTGGTTGAAGGAACGAAAGTGATCCCACGCTAATGGCAGAACGCATATATTGTTGATTCTTGATTTTGATTGGAAATTGGAATTGAGGGCATTTAAACAACCACCACCACCACCAAACGAACTTACCGGTGGAAGATTTACATCCTTTGTTGTGTGGTGGCTTAAAGTAAGTATCTCCGGATATTACGGCATAGTTTTCGGGACCCACCTTAGACTACAGGCAACATTACGTGAATACATACAAAATGTATGTATACGCAACGTTTCGTCGTATTACCATAATCATCATCATTACTAAATACGATCGAGTCATTAAACAAGTTTGGTTAATAGAAATTTCGGTTTCTCCATAAAACGGTGATGATATGGTGACACATCTACCTGAAAGCGAGGAAGGATTTAATTTTAACGGCTCAAAGTTGTCAACATTACAAAAGAAATCCGTGTGCGTAATGGTTGTTTGATCATAATGAGCCAACACGCAAAATGAGATTGCATATTATCAAGCAATTTCCGCTCTTTTGTTCCTCCTGTGATCCGGTTAGTCGATATGTTGGCTGGCACGAATTGGGAATAATTAGGTATTTAAGGAAAGTGCTAAAAGGTGATAAATTCAAGTATGTACAAGTAGTTTGACATGAACCTGTACATAATTTGACACATTCAAATGTTTGACATAATGTACATAAAAACAAAATATAATAAAAATTCTGCCAATTTTGTTGAAGTTAATAGAATTTTCATGGAATTGGCATATGCATTTATTTCGTGCTGTAAAGGTGTGCTTTGCTTTGCTTTATCTGATTCCCCATTCGTTTAGTCATTCGGGTTAAAAATAGAAATTTGCATCTTGTGGCTTTCTTATGTACATATGTACATCCTTGAGTACGCTAATACATACATATGATTTGCACATATGCATGTAAATTACCTAGCACATTGAAAACTAAAATGTGTTTTGAACACAATAGAACGTCTTTTTTAAATTCTTGAAAGCACAGTTTAAAAGTTAAAAATGGAGTGTTGAATCTGTCCCTTTAATTTAATGCCTTCAGAGCTACAAATAATTTCTCGTCTACCAGAAAGCAACTTGGTGAAAAATGAAGACGTGGTTGCACTAATTTTTATAAATGGAAAATTATTGTCCGCTGTGAATACGAAGGACAATAGAGGGATAATTAAGGCAAGTCTTGCACTTGGTGCTTAGGCTTTTATATAAATCGTGAAAATATCTAAATTTGTGCATTTTTATGATATCTTGTACCCCCAGACATGGACCCCCGAGTTCCACCTCCTCCACGAATTTGTCGCCCACGAGTGTTCCATCTACCACATGGCGCCTGGAGGGGGTGCCACTCATTTTTTCACGTCTGCCGCTGACTGCACCATTTCCCACTGGGTGGAGAATGGCGAATCCGTTGGATATAACCGTATCGCTGTTTTGACCCCAATGCTCGAACCGGCGTGGCGTCTAAGGTACGACGAAGCTACGCAGCTTCTCTATTCCGGAGATTCAACAGGACAAGTACTTGAGTTGTTTTCAATATAAGAATTATCATAATAAATCGTAAATTCATTTTTGAAAAAATAGGTACGAATGTGGGACAATACCAACGAGCTGGTAGGATGCCTTGGGACGGTGGAAGAAATTTATGACATGGCCGTCCACGATGGGGTGCTCTTTACTACGAGAAATTTAGACGTATACTTGACCACTTTACGAACTAAAGGTTCGTAAAGAAAATTAATTTCTGCACAAATTAAGATCGTAATTACTTTCTTTTTGGTTAGATGACAACAAACGAATAAATTGGAGTATCAAAAACACGATTGAAGGTACGGGACCATTGGTCATTCAAGGCGACAAACTTTGTCTCGTTTCTCGCCGAGATTTCAAAATTTTGGTTCATTGCTTGAAGACGACTGGAAATCCCAGATTGGCCGTGCTAGAAGGACACGAAGCCATCATTACAGCCATGATGGGACATTTTTCATCCAATTCAAATCTACTATTTAGTGGGGGTTACGACGGGAAAGTGATTTCGTGGAGTTTATCCAGCTACGAAAAACTTGGAGAAGTCAAATTGCACGGATACATAAATTCACTAGCGATCGATGTTAAAAGTGGGGGTGTATTTGCGGGGGGAGAGGATCGTTTTTTATGTGGGGTAAAATTGGTTAATATCTTGTAAAGACTTATTTTTAGAAGAAATTCGTATAAATAAATCCTATTCGTTTTCTTATTCGGTTATTGGCTGCGTAGTTATACTTTCTTGAACAAAGTGAACAAAGCACTTTTGGAATGCACACCTGTTTTCTGCAATCTCACCACGAGAAAACGAAAACGAAGCCACCAAAAATAGAGATGTGACTTTTTGGCGTCAAGTTTCTAACAAAAATCCAAACTGACCTGACCTGGACCCTCATTTCATGTTCAACCTTGGACTTGTCAACACCTTGTAACTTCCTGAACTATTTTGTTTACTTTTTCAACATTTCTTGAAATCTGAATACAATGGAATCTTCAGAACTAGTGCAGTCTCCTGTTGAGGAAGATAACATCAATTTCAACAAAGTCAAAACAAATGTTAAGCCATCGTGTTCGTCGTCGTCGTCGTCGTCGTCGACCCGGGTTCCACCCAGTTTGTCCGAACCTCGCGTCCTTGACATTAACTATCTATTTGCTCTCGAATTTCCGGGAGGGGTCCCTTTCGCAAAACTCTATGATCATTTCCATCGAGTCATTGGAAATCCGTCGCCTAGTTTGGAACGTCAATCCAAAGAGGTGGGCTTCACTGGATACAGGTATTTAAAGTTATATATTTTTTTAAAAATTAAGGGTGTTGGACTGGACGAGAGTCAGACATTCATGTAATGAATATCATAAAGTCTAAAAATTTATGTACACACAGAAATAAACAATATGCAATTAAGTAATTAATTATATGTTGATTACAGCCGAGATGCTTTCAAAGAATTGCTTAGGAAGCATACAGACAGATTTTGGGTCACAAAAAGCCCATGGGATACAGATATTGTTTTTCCTGCTGGATTTAAGGGTGAGCTATATCTGAATTGATTTTATAGAAAATAATTCGTAAATATTTATGTTCTAAATCTTAAAACAGAAAGGTATATCGACACTGAAGAACTATATGGGCCAATCTTGGACAGGATGCGAGATTACGTCGAGAAGCAATGTTCCGCTCTTCGACCAGCCGACCTTTTTGACAGTGTGAGCAAGTTTGATGACTGGAAAGACTGCATCCTCCAAAACAATGGAGGCCCCCTCATGGATCAGTTCGATCAAATACCGGATAAAGCAAAATTCAAGTTGATGCAAGTTTGTTGGGAGGTTTTCCAGGCAGAGATAAACAAAAACGCTAAATCTCTGTGTGATTACCTCGCCGCCCCCTTTTCGAGTTCCGGTTGTTTGGAGGACTCCCAGTCAAGTGGGGCTGAACCCGGTACTTCTAGTGATCAGTTAAACGATACTGCGGTCAGCTTTGTGGAGAAAATGGTGACAACGGAGTTGAGATTGCCATTTTCACAGCTCCTGTACGCAAAAATTCCAGAACTGTCGGAGGAAATCAAGGCTGGGGAAATGTGTATTTGTGTGGCAGGATTTGTGCAGAACCCTGCAAAATTTTATCTTCTTCCGAGAGTGGGGAGAGAAGATGTGGCGAGACTCATGGTGGACATGAAGTAGGGGGGAATTATTTTTTCCTGCGTACATGTACTAATTTATTTATCATTTGTTAATAATTTGGCTTTTATTTACGTTTTAGCAAGGAATACGGAGTATTAGAGGACCTCGATTGCGACATTCGCCCTTGGATCGGTTATTTGCGTCCCGGATTTTACGTCGCGGTCAGGAGATCACTCGAATCTACGGATTGGTATCGAGGCAAAATTTTGGATAAGGATTGTTATCCGTTGTACACCGTGAGCAACAGTTCATTTATACAACTTTTAATTTATGTATAAATCGAATCACTCATAAATATAAAACTTTTTTATATTCCAGGTATTCCTTCTCGACTACGGCGAGGTGATCAACGTTCCCTTAGAGTGCATGCGGTACCTCCATTTTCAGTACATTTCCTTCCTTAAGGCCCCAGCCACTCGATGTTCCTGCTTTTTGGGGAAAAATTACCGAAACAAGAGAACTGCAAACGGAGCACGATTTCGGTGGACGAACAAAGAAACGAAATTATTTAGGAGTTTAATCGATGGGAAGAATCTGGCTATCGAGCTATTCAAAAAGAGGATAATTCGAGTACAGAATTTATAATCATTTTATTTTTATTTTTGGAATTTTTTTGCGTATTTTAGACATTGTCACGTAAAATTATCCTTTTCCAGGGACAGATCTCACTAGACGTCCAAGTTCACATTCTGGATGAAAATTGTGGCCGCGTCGTTCTGCATCACGTGGAACGCGAAGTGTTAAAGCGGAGCAGGGGGGAGTACGTCTGCGGAAGCAGGGAGGGGACAGAAACTCGAACCACCGTCTGTCCAACCACTTTTAAAACCATTAATCCAAGTTATTTTTCTTAAACGGGGGCCGGGATATTTTATCAATATTTTCTCTTACTTTATTTATGACTATGAAAGTATTTTGTAACTTTATTTCGTATTTTTTTGCTTGTTACTTTAAAATATTTCGAATGACAGAAATGTGTGACAATGAATTATTTTTGTACCTTTGTTTATGGAATAAATGGTTCGCATGATGACTTCATGTTTCCTTGTAACATTCCTTCTGAAAGTCGTTTGTCCACAAGCAGGTGAAAGCAGGTGAAAGTTCATTTGTAACTATGGCCAAATTCCATCGCGTCTCTTTTCACCTCAAACATCTCAATTTTAGATTTTGAACGCTGAACACGAATATGATAACCGTTTCGACCTATGACAACTCAGTGACCGTGTGAATTACTGTTCATCCAGTATTATTAGTCGCAAAAAATTCTGGAAGGTTACCTGGCAGATTATTTATTTTTCAATTAGCAACCAAATAACCTCTCAGAAAATTTTCCAAGAAATTGCGACTAATAATACTGGATGAACAGTAGGTCAAGGTCAAAAACATAGGACAAAGCTCGCCCGGTGGGAGACGGGCTTATACGCTAATATAATACAGAACCTTGACGCAAGAAGTGTCGAAATATGGGGAAAGCATACTGACTCATAAGCATACATTTTAGAGTTCGAAACATGTGCGTATGAACCACTCCATCATATGTCATGCTAAAAATATCATATTAAGTTAATATGCTCATCATCCTCTGTTCACCTCATAAATACAAGTGTGCATGCTTACGACTATTACGTGATATTTTTGGATTACAAATAAAATTTTGAAAAATGACATTGAAATTGGTCTCAAAAGTGTCAAGTGAGCATCTCGTTTCCGGTGAAGATTGGGAATGCCTAATGTGGCTTAATGGAAAGTTGTACAGTGCTGGATATGCCAGTGGGAAAATTAAGGTAACATATATATTTAAATGACCCGATTACCTGATAAGTATACTTATCTACTTAACGTTGCTAATTACTTATCATCTGCAGGTCTGGTCCCCAGATTTGCAACAAGTTCTCAAGGAATGGCCAGCTCACGAGTATCCCATTTACCACATGTGTCCCGGTCCACCCCCCACTTTTTTCACGTCTTCTTCAGACTGTACAATCAAACAATGGGAAGAAGGTGAAAATGGAGACTTTGTTCTTATCGCTACTTTAGAAGGACACGAGGAACCGGCGAGAAAGTTGAGATTTGATTCGGATAAGAAGAGACTTTATTCTGGGGACGAGTTGGGCAAAGTGTGTACATAAGAAATACAATTTTTTATGTAATCGTAAGAGGTTAGAAATTATAGAAATAACCCTGTTGAATTATGTATCTAGGTCCTTATCTGGGAGGATGGGAAACTTATCGGAATTTTGGAAACATTGGAAGAAATTTGGGACATGATGATTTACAATGATCTTCTTTTCACGGCGAGACATTTGGACGTTGTAATAAATACGCTGAGCCAGAGAGGTATGATTGTATTTATTTTAATGCTGTTTAATTAATATTTCTAGTAGAAATACTTATCTCAGGTGACCAAATTCGCCACTCTGTGAAAAACACCATACCTGGAAAAGGACCGTTTCTGATCACAAAGGGTGAAAAGCTTTGTTTCGCGGATAGGTCCAATTTTCAGATTCATGTTAACGAAGCGTTCAAATCGGGAAATGCAAACCTGGCCAAATTGGAGGTGCTAAAACATAACTTTTTAATTAGATGTGATTAAATCTTCTTTTAATTAAAAATGATGACAGGGTCACGAAAGCATCGTAAATGGAATTGCGTCTCATAATGACACCTTGTACACGAGTGGTAGCGACAAAAAGCTGATTGCATGGAATCTGACGACTTTGAGTCGTATCGAATCGCTAAATCTCGACGGGTATGTGAATGACATTGTCATCTCAGACAGCGACGGAACGATCTATGCGGGTGGCCAAGATAACAACATATTTGCAGTAAAATTAACATAATAGCAGACAAAATGTGGTACTATTTTTTGGAAAATATACTCATCATTTATTGTATATAGTTATATTTAATTCCGTAAATCTTAACCTAACGTCCTAAAACACACAAGTCACACATCTCTTATTGAGCATAAAACAAGACATACGTAAATATCTTATCTTATTATTATCAATTTGACAATATCTATAAATCTACTTAAATGTGGTGCGTGCCACCATCCACGATAATTCCACTGTCCTCCTCACTCTTATTATTTTCATTATTATTGTCTCGAAATTCTCTCTGTTTACTGTTATTATCACTGCTTAGCAGAGTAGAAGCTGTATTGGCTGTGGGGGCAGATCGGGTAATGACGCTTCCAGCAGTTTTGTTGACATTATCACTACCATTGCTTTTTATAGGTTTACTGTTATTGCTTCCGGGAAGTGGCCTTGTCATCCTGCCGCCCAGGTAGCCAATCTGCTTCAGGTAATTGGCAAAGTTACGAGCATACACTCGGGAGAAAGTTGCTTTCGAGCCCATACAATTTTCTGCTTCACCTGTGCATGTTTTTTGTAAGATTTCCATCATTCATTTTCCATATTAGTTGATTTACATACATGCAAAGAGACCAATGAGACTTTTGGATTCTTTGGAATATGCCCGGATTGTGAGGGCGGATCCAGCGTCTAGCGGTTTCCCGTCACGATACCAGCGAAGAATTGGCGTCGGTACGCCTGTAACCTGTGAAAAAAATTCATTCATACAAAAAGATGAGACATATTAATACTTCACGGATGGGTAAGCATTGAGTGAAATGAGGTATGTGAAAAAGTTGGCAAGAAAAGTTACGCACATCACACTCCGACAAAACACAAAACTGTCATACGTACCTCACACTCGAGAGAAAGGGTCCCATTGTCCCAAAGACACCCACGAAGTCCAGTGATGAATCTGGGCGCTTGGTAAATTTGTGGAACTGTGGAAGAGCATAATATTTATTTAATACTGATAAAAAAATACTTCAATGATGTTATTTTATAAGAGATGAACTACTTGCTTTGTAATGTGAGAAGGGCATTACAACAGATTTCTTTCTGGGGTCCATTGTTCGTATCATTCGACGCCGCCCTACAAACCCAGTTCCCTTCATCGCACGGTTTAACTTGGTGGATTTGGACGCAAAAGATGCTCTTGTCTCGGAGCAGGACGTGACGGTCAGAATTAGTGATGGGTTCTTCATTTTGAAACCAGAATACCTGGAAATATTGAGAATCCCGTATATATTTTCCAAAATTAACACTAGCTCTTATTCTCAATTTTAGGATGAATTTCATCATTAAAAAAAATACGACTCACATTCGGATCTAAACAACCCCTAATTTCCACCAGGAACTTTGTCGAACTTCCCACCGGGATTGTGACATCGACCATTTCCCTTTTAAACTCGAAGGGCTCACCACTTTCACTATTTCCGCCCATTTTTAATATAAAGTACTTTCACTCAACGCAAGAAGAAATCACAACTTTCACCACGATCACAAAAACTGACTTGATAACCCGAAATATATGTACTTCTTGATCAACAAATTAACATATTTATTTCCTTATTTACTATTCCAACCTGGCTGACATATATTACCGAAAATTTGACCGGTTTACGACGCGTAGCCAGCAGATTATTATACTCTTGACCTTTCTCTTATAACAAAAGCAACAACTTATTTCCGTTTTAACGACAACGGTTATGTTATGTTATGGCTGGGAATACTATTAAAGTGTTCGAGTGAAGACTATGTTGAGATGAAATGAGAATTCAGATTGGGATCGAGTTTCATGGTCGAAGCCAAAAAATCAAGCCAACTAAAAAGACCAACCAAAAAACCAACCGACTTTGTTCTTCACAAAAAGAGGAGGAGAGGAACAGAAAGAAATTAAATGTTTTTTTGCAAGTATATTTTGCGACAATAAATAAATTGACAGTAATGTGAAAAATATTTTATTACGTCAATTTTGCATGTGTAAACAAATTTGCAGAAATGTTGCCAATTTCTGACGGCCTTTGCGAAAAGGATTCGTCCTAGAGGAAAAGTAACATTATTTATGAACACCACCCACCTTTCTATCTAGAATTGTTTATTTTTAGAAGTTTTTAGCACATGAACTGCATCATCATTTCATTTCATTATTATGCAGCACCGGGAGCAGGAGACAAGTTCGGGTGCAAAATTGCCTAATGGTTATAAGATTTGTTGGGATTTAGAACCCGACGGAACTCATGCTTCATCTGTGATAAGGCTAATCCAACATTATTTGATTATCATAATGCATACGTACGTAAAAGATTTGTAGGAAACTTGAAATGAATGATGGTGACCATATAATTTAGCATTTGAGGAGCTGAAAAGACGAGAAATGAGAATGTTTACAAGTTTGGACGACGTAATGAAAAAGTCTTAAATTAACTAAAGCTAACGATTAATTATTGAATTGAAGGTGACACATCAAGGAAAATGAGCACATGGCACCTTGAAACTTTTTTTTAGTGGTTGAAGATATATTTTTGTCGCGTATTCTTCAAGATTTATAAATGAAATGCTAGTAGATATTTTGTCAAGTGAAATATTTGCGAGGTTTTTTACACAATGAAATAAGGATGAAACAGGTTTTATGCTCGATTCCCCTAATTAACTAAAAGTTGATCACAAGTATTTATCTTGTTTTAATATCATACCAATTTTTTGTCTCATTTCTACAAACAAACAAGGCTATTGTTTGATGAGCATATCAATATAATACGGATATCGATCCAAGATATTCAGGTTTGTGGTAATAAACGAAGATGAATGTTCAATGAGGTGATGAAGGTTGAAATTGCAAATAATATCATTTAACCAAAACTGGTGGAGGTTGAGAGTGGTAAGTTAATTGTGCAGATCGTAAGAGAGAAATAGTATCATCATTTTTTTCGAAATGAAAATAAAATAGGACACCCGAATTTGCACCAATTTTGTAAATGTTGACAAATTTCGTGTCAATAAGTAAGTCCAAAAATGGTAAAAGTTTCATCCTTAAGTGTGATTAGCTTCTACATTTTCACACATCTTCATTTGTTCAAGGTAATTAATTAATTCCAATTAGTCATTTTGGGCTCCCAAAAAAAAAAAAAATTTCAGAATTTTTTTTACTAGATTGTGTCTGGAATGTATCCCCAATTATACCCTCGAAACCTTCCCATCACCCTACGCCACCCCTACCCAAATTATCCTCAGTCACTGCAGAGAGCGTCCCCATTTTTTTCCATGAATCGAAACCAACTCAACAACGCAGTCTCGTCACAAGAATCGTCTTCATCTTCCTCCTCAGCCCAGCAAGGTTCACAATCGCCCATGTTCATTTCCACTTCCGGTCCACAGGATCCTTCAAATGACTTCAATTATAACACTCCATCCCGCGACACGAACCATTTGATTCTAGACTTTTTATACGATTACTACGAATACCCACCGTATGGGGGTCAAGCCACTCCGGTCGATTATGGGTGGGTATATCCCCCCTCACCACCACCGACGGTGATGACGATACAAGAAAATTCTCCCCCTCCCTCATCCCAAATAACAGAGACGCCCATTATAACAGGGCCGTCGCGATTCAAGCCGTATAAACCACCAATGTCACCACCAAAATCGAAGCCGGACGATAAAGACACGACGGATGAGGACTCCGCGACAACGGATGAAGATGAGGACGAAAATAAAAATCCTGACGTTCCCGAATCACCGCCACCACCAGCACCAGCGTCTCTATTTCAATTTGGGCTTTGGAGTCCGCCAGCAATATCGGGAGGGAGTGGGCACGATTATAAGAATAAATTTACCCGTCTCAAAGAAAAGTGGAATTATCTCCTGGACAAGTTAAAGATTAAGGATGGCAGTGATTCTTCATCTCCTGCACCCAATAATAGTAACAATATGGATAAAGAGACTGAAATTATTGTGAATAGGAGGCCAATCAAGGTGAGTGGGAGTGGTGGTGGTGGGGGAAACTACCCAATTTCTAGCTCGTCCAGTAATTCTGGACAATTTCAACTGGAAAGTCTTCCGGGATGGAATGCTCCTCCTTTAAAGAACCCGCAAAGGTATCAACAACGTTATCCGATAAGACAACAACAAGGAAACAGAAATAATTACAATGGGTGGGTCCAACTTGGTAATACGAGGAGGCCATTTTCGTTCCCTTATGTTTATTAAGACCGAAAAATTGTGTGGACAGTGTAAAAAGTTATTATAATTGATTATATTATTTTGTTCAAAGGAATTTTGATTTAAAAATAAAATAGTAATTAGGGAATAACACAATGCTTACTTAAAACTACCAATTTCCAAAATTCTTAAATTCACACCCAGTCGGTTTCTTTTTGGACGATTTATCTCCAAACTGGAGAGCAGGGGGTGTCAATTCGTCGGCCCTGTTAAGTTAAAAACGCCATTATTATTTGTTCGAAGTGTTTCGAGTTGTATGCAAATTTTTTTTTCCTGCTACTTACTTTCGTTTAGGATTGATATATTTCCCAATTCCCTGACGGTAAACTTTCAATTCGGGTGTTTTAGGTTTATTTTTCGAATTTTTGGATGCGTCTAATTTTTCAACTTCTAGTCTTTCAATATCTTTCCGCCTTTCTGATGCCAATTCCTCATCGACTTCCGTAAACGGATCCACAAATACTGTAGAAGTCTGAATTATGATATCTTCAATCGGTCGATCCTTATTGTCAACTTCCACTTTCTCCATGGCCGATAGGGTATCCAGACCTCCGACAACTTTTCCTGGCGAGTTGGGTGAATAAAAATATTTATTTTCATATATATTAATATATATTTTAATATATATTTTGGCTGAATGAAAATATAATAAAACTATAAAATACATAAACATCTGATTATAGTATTGAGTAATGGTGAAAACAAGAAATCTAAGCGAGCAGAAGTTTCGGTGCGAAGTACGTCGGACTCTATTATTATTTTCAGCTGGACAGAGATTGATTTCGTTCTCGAGTAGGAGACATTATTATTCTTGCTTTTACCATCAAGAATGGATAAAAGAAGTAGTGGATTTGAAAGTTGGAGTGACGATGATGACTTTGTGCCAACAAAGAAACCAAAGCAATCAGGGGAGTCTTCGGTCAGTCGTTCCCAACAAGAAGGTAGGTTTGTTGTCATTACGTGTTAAACATATGCAAAGGTTTGTTGTTTATCCCGAACCAGGGCTTATGCAACCGTTTTGCCAGTCTGTCCGTCTTTCTGCAAACACGGTAACTCTCTAAGTTTTTTGTTTCATTCAATTTATAGCTCCACCTCAAAGAGCCTACTCGGGCAAGTACAAATGGGAACCGAATATTCCTAATCCAAATAGAGGTAAGTGTTTTTCTATATATGCAATTCACGACAGTCATACAAAGAATTGTATTTATTTAGATAAGAAGGGCGACCCAATGGGTCGCTGTCTAGAGCAAAACAGGGACGGAACAATTTGTTGTCATCCTGTATCACGCAAGCGTATCCAACTTCATTATGCTCTAAATCACGCTGATGAGGAAACGTAAGATTTATATGAATAACTACGTTAGTTTAAGCATGAGTTGAAACTGATTTGCCCAATAAGTTTTCATTTGAACTTGTTTTGTTCAGCATTCGGAAACAAAAGGCGTACAACCTTCTACAAGCAAACAAGTCACGACAACAAGATACCATGGGTTACAAAATAAAGTTCTTCCAATTGAGTAGACAAGGTCAGGGTCTCCCTGATACTTTTCCGATTCTCTCACACGGAACTGAACCAACAGGGGAGCAAGCACGAATAAATGCTGAAATTTCCGCCATTAATAAGAGAAAATACGAAGAATCCTTGCAGATAGATAGGAGTGCATATTATGGAACTGTATGTAATTGAATATTTATTGTATGCTGTTATAATAATTGAAACATTATTATAACATGTTGATTGATAGGTAATCTGTCAATTTAAACCACCTGACGACGACCCCAATATGAATATGGAGGACATGTGGCTAAGATTCGAGAAGGATCCTACTTTTGAATCGAAATGGTTCTATGATGTCAGCTATTGCGTAAGTGATAGCGAAAGTACTTTAGTAGTTTTAGTCTTCTCCATGTTTTACCTTGGGTGAGCTAATAACTAGCAATTTGATAATATAGGAAGGTCCATGTCCCGCCACACATCTGGGGAAAAACTCTCGTTCGGAAGTGGCCAAGTGTGGTGTCGTTGAACAATACTCAACTTACGTAATGGCAAGTGCATAATATACAAATTATCATTAATTCCAATGAGTACTTATAATATGTATGAACGTTAATTACAGAGAATTAGATTTGAAGGGGGCACAAAAGAAGAAAATTTTAAAGCAGCCATGGGTTGGCAAGCTCCTTATTGTGTGCTAGCCCAGTACAAAACAAGTCAGTAATATCAATTAATTATCTAATTACATAGGTAATGAATTGATGTTGTGTTTGTTATATAGTTAATGGAGTTGGTGGTGGGACTGGCATGAAGATAACAATGCTTAACAAAAACCAGGTACAAAAATCGAACCACATGACTGCCGTGTCTCCAGAAGAGGATGAAAAGTTGAAGCACATTTCCATCCATGGAACAAATGTTTTTTACCCTGTTCAAGGGTACGAAGACATGAAGAAGCATCCCTGGGCAAAATATACATTCCCACCCAGAACTACTTATTTTACTCCTAAACCTTCTCAATAGTTTTTATAACATTTGGTTATGCTATTTAGTTATGATATATTTCACCTTATCGCAGAAATATCATAATAATAAACAAAACTCACTAATATATCCAAAAAAGAGTTTGTTGGAGATGTGAAGAAAATAATTGGAATTCATAAATTTTTACCAAATATTGTGTGCTTTCCATCCAAGTGTTTACAGGATCGATACGTGATAAAACTAGGAAAACAACAAATTCACATAAGAACGATATTTCATCTAAATGAATGATCACACTTGCATAATGTGAGCTTACAATTGTGATTTGTTTGTGGCTGGACCAGAATTCGCCATTGACAGAACTCCACGACCTTCGTGATGCAAGTTTGGACGAATTTCGTCTTCGAAAGCATCTGTCCAAGCACTCTCACCTCCGGTCCCCTTTCCAGTGGGATCACCTCCTTGAATCTGGAATACAATGATTGGATATTTTAAACAATCTTTACAAATAACATAACTTGAAAAATCAAATCGTTTGTGTGTATACCATGAAATGCCTAATTGAACGATGAAACTGGGTCCCATTGTAATAACCCTTTTTGCAAAGGATGATAAAATTTTCACACGTTTTCGGAGTAATATCACAATGAAGCTCCAGATTAATTTGCCCATGCGTAGTGTTCAACCTGACATATCCTAAAATTTCACAGCACATTTAATATTAAACATATCTATATATATATTTTACGAAATATGATTATTTGACTTGCCTTTCTTTTTAATACGCTCGTACCGCACCGAATCTTCGTCCCGGATGGCAGCCTCATGCACGGTCAGCACTGGCATTACTGTCGATGTAAATCCGGCCGCGACAGCTCCCGTAGAATAATGTGCCTGAACATAACAAGCACAAAAAAATATAGCTTTTATGTAGGATTCAGTCGAATCGTGATTTTAATTCCTCTTACAGCATTGACGCTATCCGCTTTTTTGATAACAGCACTCTCAGTCTCTGCGGCCACATACGTTTTGTTCAACTCTTGAATGGAATCCCTGGTCTGAGCATTTGTCGACTTCAATCGAGCATTTGGGTCATGAGGGGCTCGTATCAATTCTGAACAAAAATTAACACAAATTATTAATTATGCCCTGCCAATAATCAATTCACAAATTCAAAATCTTTGACCCACCTTCATCCTCAATTTTTAAATTATTCTTGACGTGATGAAAGTCGACGAAATTAAACTTCTTTAAATTCTTGGGATCCTGAATTGTAATCAGATCGTTCCTCGTAAAGGGTTGATCCGTGAGTAGATCTTTCCAACTTTTCGGTTTAATGTTTAATTCTTCGACAGCCTGGAATTTACAATACCAAATTAATTACTTACATTTCACCCATTATATCATCCATACTTTTAAGTATAAAACTCACCTCAAACGAAAACACGTTCCCCGTCAATTTATTTGCAACAATGTGACTGTTCGCGTTAAAAACTTTGTACAGAACAGGACAATGATATTTCCCTTCTCCATTCTTAGTAAAATTTAATTTTGTGAGCTGTTTAGCATCCAATTTCTCGCCCGTGATGGGATTAACCTTATACTTTTTCAGGAAGGGAAGAAGGACCATCAAATCGAAAATGTTCCCGTGAGCGTCACAATATGGATTTTCGAAGGGCTGCAACGACAAGGCGCAGTGGTCAAAGGGCAGCCGTCGAAATTCAGAGTTACTCCCAAACTGGGCTTGATTAGCTTTCTTTCCACCGTAAAGTGTCGACCACTCGGTGAAGGTCAGGTATCTGTGTAATTTAATTAAGCAATTAACTCACATTAATTACAAATTCAAATATAAATAGTTTAAATAATTTAAGTTAAATTGAAAAAAAAACAATAACAATAACACTTACAATTTATCTTTTTGATGCTGTTTCTTCCCCATTTTACAAGCTTAACTTATTACTTATCAGAAAATCAGAACTATTTACAATTAATTAGAATATAGACAGAGCTTAAATTGAAATTGTTAATTTTTTAAAAACGCAGATTTTTTTAAATATCAAATATAAATATTTTGAAGGACTCCGTTAATATCGTAGCCAAAATACAAGTAAAGATTCTCTCCGGCGTTTAAGTCTCGCACTGCCGTCTCATTTTGAGAATGTCTCACAAACGCACGCCAGTAAATTTCCCATTCGGATGCGAACTTTTTTGCCAAAAGCTCTTTGATTCGATCGAATTCCCACTGAATTTCGTCCACGACCTTTTGAAGTTTATCTACACGTTCATGTGTACTTTTTAAGCTCTTTTGGGTTTCTGTAATAAAATTGTAAATATTAGATTAATTAGTCAATTTCTGCATAAAATTATGCATTAATTACCTTCTAATTGTTTCGCCGTTTCCAAAAGTGCTCTACGAAGAGTGATGCACGCAAAAATTGTCATCCATATAAGGCAAAATTTGAAGTTTGGATGCATGATGAGGACGAACTTTGAAATTGTGTGAAACTTTAAAATTGGGTGATTTCTAGACTGCAGCAGAAAATGGAATGAAGTTATCGGTACAGTTAAAGTTAGTTAAGTGAATTAAGTTAGTACATACGCATTTGTTCTGTATTTAGTATGTTAGAAGAGGAAATAAGGGTGCATATGTAGGCGTTTCCAAGAAAAATGCATACGCTACTAAAATTAAAGGTCATTTACGCTGCATACCTTAGATTTTGATATGCCATACTAGATAACTGTTGAAGGGGCGTTTCTTTGCTGCTTATAATTAAATTATTAATTACGAGGGTCGATATGTGTTTACTTTATTGAGCTTAAAAATTAAGGTACAGTAAGTACTTATAATAATTATTAGATAAGATTAAGCTAATTCATAATTTTGTATAATTCAATCTTATGCATATTGTCTTATGAATATTTCCATACATGTATACTTATAATAATTTGATAAGATTAAGCAAATTAATAAGACTTGTATCTTATGAATATTGTCCTGAATGCCGTGAATATATCGTGAATATTTCCATACATGTATGAAAACTTTGGCTGTAAGGAACATTATGAAAATCTCTATCCTTTTCTTTAATACAATGTATCATCATCATGGAAGTGCTTGTTATTATTAATGAGCAAGAATCAACCCTTTCTTCAAAATCTTCGTTTTTTATATCCCTGGAATTTTACCCTCCGGCTAAACAATGTTATCCCTCACGCACTTTTTTACCATTTTTTGTACACAAACGCACATCTACATCAACAACTACGCACTTGATCTCGGTTTGAAATCATCATTTCCAACAGGAAGACGGAGTGAGTTGGCAGCATCATTTTGTTTATAGTTTGCTGTTGTTGTTTCAAAAATTCTGGAAAAAATGGGAAAATTTCGACTCATTTGTGCCCTATTTTTGGTACTTAAAAAAATAGATTACCGTATAAAATTTATGTAACTTATGTATATCAAATTGAATTTTAAGGTGGCCATTCTTGGTGGTTTGGATGCTTCGCCAACGCCAATATTTTGGCGAAGGAATTCGACCCCATCGCACCCACCATCGACCACCATCGTCGGTCGGCCTCATCACCATTATCATCCTCAACCCGTGATAAGACCCGGACTTCCACAAGCTGTGGCGCAACACCCACATATTCACGGTCAGGGGTCGCATATTCATGGTCAAGGGTTGCCAGGTCATATTCATGGCCAGGGCCATATCCACTCCAGACCTAAACCACCCTTAGTCGGGTAAGCTTAAATATGTAAAATATGCAAATATTTGTATGATTTTTCAAGGTATTTACTTGATCTCTGTAATCAGGGCCCATCATGGAACTCGGCGACACGTTCACCACATTCATCAGCTTCACGGTTGAGAACAAAAATGACCAGATTTTTTCATATGATTTTTTATGCATTTATTTTGAACAAAATGATTTAAAACTCTGATCGGGCTTACTTTTTCATCACAAAACAAATAAATATTCTTTAATTTGAGTCTGCATTTGCATTGATTTTTGCATAAATATGAGAGTAGCATGAAACATGAAAGCATACATAATACATATTCAAAGACATATATTAAATAAATTTTTATGTTATTAAGACATTTTTATGTACACAATATGATATAGCATAGTCCCATTAACAGCACAAAGTCTCATATTTTACATATATCTAGTAACACCGAGTACTCACAGACGTATGTATGTGTGTATATATAGCACATAATGTAAATTATCTAATATTTATTCATGTATGATTACCACAATGATTATCAGAAATCAATACAGAGAAAGTCGAAACTGATAAAAAGTTGCGATTATAAATAGATTAAATATGCTCATGTTCACTTGTAATTAAATATAATTAGAGATGCGACAGTATAAAAGTTGTAATGATTTTTTTATATAGAGTAGAAGAATGAGTGACAATTTGTAAGTATATGCCAATTTTTTAGTAAGAGTTTTGAGTCCGAATCAGTAGTGATTATGATAATATAAATAGATCTGCACGAATTTTGAAATGTATAGATTTATCTGTAATTCTTGATTTTGTTTTATGAGTTTTTTCCCTTTTCTTTACGGGGCGAGCATAACGTAGAGAATGATGATGAGAATGATAAGCACTAGAAATGATCCCGTGGACAGCAAGGCTATCAAACTCTTTTGTTTCTTGATGGAGTAAATCTGCAAAGTGATTAAGGGAAATTGCTGTAAAATTAGTTATCATCACATTTCAGTGTTAACGATTGATGCATACCTGGAATGCCAACCCTCCGAAAATCACAGCCGCTTGTACCTGCATAAAAGTTGAATTGCTTTAAATAATTTAACAATTTTAATTATTAATAATCCTTATGCTACAATAACGAGAAGAAGTCAGTCGAAAATGATTGCCAAGTAATTACCGGGGTAAGAGAAATTTGTCCTGGAAGATTGATGGCAACCTTTGATGATAAGCGAGACATTGATAACTCTGTAACCGTAACGGAACCATCATTCACCACCTGAAACACAAATCACAGAATTAACTAAACTGATCATACGAAACATTCTAAATGATTTAATTAATTTGTTCATCATCCCGAGAAAGGATCTAGGCGATCTCTTTTCTTCATGAGACGATTAATAAATAAGTAACATGATTTTCATATAATGCACAATTACGGAACAATCCAACTTTTCGGATGAATGATGAGGAATTTTCATTTTCATCCCGTGCAAGAATAGATTGACGCCAAGACAAAAAGTCTGCCTCCCTCCAAACCTTCTAATACCGCATTGTCTCCACTTTCCTTTCTTCTCGTCGTACTTTCTCCTCCATTCATTCCGCCGTCAAACGATTCACCACCACCACCGCCGTTAAAGAGTAAAAGGCATTTTGGTAATTAATGGCAAAGGCACGCAGTCCAGTCCACTAATCCTAAGCCCAAGGAGGAAATACTTTCCGCACATTCGTGGGAGGAGGAGGCGGACAAGGACGACGACGTAGTAAATAAATGAACGAGAAACTTAATCCACCGACCAACCAATCTAGAAAGCGCATCTTCTCCCTGCGTGCGTATGTATGAACAAACGAGATAGGAATAAATCGGTCTCAATCAATACTTAATTAATCTAGTTTAGTGTCAATTAACCATGATAGAAAAAAGCGAGATGAGTTTTTTTGTTCGGGAGTACAGCCAAACTTGCCAAACAGCATTGGTAATTAAGTGTTAGATGAGAAGGAGGAGGGTCCACCAATTTGGACACTTATTCACATAGTCGAGAAGGAGGAGACCAATTATAAATAAGTAAAAGGAGCTTTTGTGCTTAAAAAGTATTTTATTATTAGTTATGACTATGACCTTTACCATACTAAAGACGTACAGGAATTATAACCATATATTTGTATCATCAAACTAGACTTGTTAGACTGAGCTAGTCATTTTCGCAAAATTTCACCTTTTCGCCAACCAATTAACCTGCTTCGGCATTCTCCTTCATATATTTTCGTGACGTGACAAGTATGTAAACCTACAATTAACTGGTATGATATGCATACACACTATATTCAAAATCAGAAAAATATTGCACTATCCATGTAAAAATGTGCAAGTTTTAGAAATTGGGATCAAAAGTGGAATCGATCCTTTAAAAATTTAGCCCCCTTTTAAACAAAAAGTCTTCAAACGCAATATGTTCTTTCTTTCATGTAATCCACTTGAAAGCTGACAAGACAAGATACATGTCTTATCTCATGTCTTCTTGTAGCAGAATACAGTATACCCATAAAATCAAGCCTCTCTCGTCCCAGTCAAATCTTGAACTTGAGACAAAGTGAAGCATCAAACGTGTAATAAATGTGAAACCGTGTACAAAAGAGCACACGGAGCAGTTACGAACGTACAAGGGATCAAGATCCAAATCCACGGAATCAAAACACACTTAAACGTAACGAACATCCTGTCCGCCTCGGGGAGAGAAATGGATCCTGAAATCCACTTCCACTCGATAGCAAAAAGCCAAGCCACGCCACCATTACGAACGCACGAAGCTATTCATCATTTCACATCATTCCACATGATCGGATGGGATTATTGTTTAAAATAGGATGCAGACAAAGGTTGTGCAAATAACATGGAGTGAAATTAGATCAATTGTTTGCTGAAGAAACGGGGTAAAAAAGACGAAGAAAATCAGGTTTCACTCGGTGTTTTAGCTTTTTTGATAATTTTTGATAATTAAAACGTGGAAAATTTTATATTTAGGAGTGAGAAATAAAAAATAGGTGCAATAGATAATTTTGGAGCGTTACATAATAAATTCAATTTTTCACTTGCTAAAAAAGCAGAATTATACCTTTTTACACGATAAATGCGTAATTAGTGTAGGAGAGAATACGTGGAATTTGGTGGTTGTAAAGAGAGTAATAGATGTGAAGAAGGGCAGTTAGCCTAGTGGTAGGGCGCTCGTCCGGCAAACGGGAGACGCGGGGTTCGATTCCTCGCACCACTCTTCAAAACATATTTTTGCTCTCTTTCGCGTATTACAACTACCAAAAATCCCACATGTGGTGGAACAGCTGTTCGATCTCGATCCCTCTCAAAGTTAAACGGAAGCCCAACCCCCAAAAATCCCCAAACCCCAATTTCCGTCCATGCAGTGAGCTCCTCGCGCAGGGCATGAGACGTCATCCCCTTTCTGTCCACCACCGCTAGATCAGCATGCGTTGCCTCAGCTGAGCAGTCGGTGGTGCAAGTATATTCTCTCCCATATCCCCTTATAGAGTGGGGACCACTCTAAACTATTTCCGGGCAACTGTAGGAGAGAATACGTGGAATTTGGTGGTTGTAAAGAGAGTAATAGATGTGAAGAAGGGCAGTTAGCCTAGTGGTAGGGCGCTCGTCCGGCAAACGGGAGACGCGGGGTTCGATTCCTCGCACCACTCTTCAAAACATATTTTTGCTCTCTTTCGCGTATTACAACTACCAAAAATCCCACATTAGAATCATCCTCTCTTAACAACACTCTGCTCGTCATCGCCACTTTTTTAAAAGAAAAGTGCGTGTAAGACAACATCCTTAAATGTGCTGGAGAAGAAATGACCATCATTTACCATAGTCGTAAGATAAGCTATGTACGTATTACGTAATGTTCACCACCACCATAACTGTCTGGTTCGAAGATTAGTATCCCCTCCTCCTCTTATCAACTGCTGCGGAGTGAAAGTGCATCGCGGACAAAGGCATGGTCGCACCATTATTACCGAAAACCCAAGCCAAGGAACCAACTAATCGTAGCTCCTCCTTCACCAGAGCAGCAATACCATTAACTTTTGACTCTAACTCGTGTAATAAACAAAGTAAACAGCTCACAACAGTCAACAATCCTCATTTCAAGAAATCAGGACAACCCAGTCAAGTCAAGGATACGAAACACATTAAAAACTACGTACAACTCGTGTAAGCTAAGCCTACTCGAACCAAACTAAGTCGTCAAATAGAGAGATAGCTGGTGGATGTAGGGGGAGAAAGTCTCCTTTTATCCATCCTCACGTCCTTTTCAGGAAGAAGAAGAGACGAGGTAAAGGGAAAAAAGGCTTATGACGTGGGAACCTTTTTGGGTGTTGACCACGGATTTGCATCACATTAGGTTTCAAACTGTGCAAAATTTAATGCAAGTAAAACTTTACCATATTACATTATCTGAAAATTATAAAGCAAAATATGCAAAATCGGGGGATTTTTAAATAGCATTGTCCAACCCTACAAAAATCGCCTGTTTTTATACATATTTTAATTTGTAATTTTCTTCAGTCTCAATTTGCAGACAATGATCCACACCAAAGTTCGAATTCCATTAAGGCCCAGTTTGAGATTAATATGAAGAAAATCAGTGCTTGACATCCAAAAAGGTTCTCTCATTCGAGTGAAATAATCTTCTTTTTTAAGTCAACTTCCACCCTGGTGAAGTTGACCAAAAGTCTTGAACATTGCGGATTTTAATTCGAAAGTCAAACCTCTCCAACCAAACAACTCTCCTCTCCAAAGGAGGAGAAAGTCGTTGAGAGGGAAAAAAGCTAATTATTTATTTTTACTCTTCTCAGCTCAGAGTAAATAGCCGAGATTTTTACCAAGTACGCACTAAGCCTTACATACTCACAGTAGTGCATAAGCAGTTACTTTACTTACTTGGAAAGTGTACTTGCCATTTCCTTCTCCAGGAGCCGGAGTTGTTGATGTACTGCCTTTTCGAGTCGGGGGACTACCTTTGCACCTCTGGAATTTAAAGTTGTATTGTTTCTGACCATTTCCACCCGTGATTTCCAACGTGTTTGGAGAAAACAGTCCCATATCTTCCGAAAAAAAGATTGTCTTTATCATATTTTTACGATAAGTAAGTTATCGATGGATAAGTCACATACTTGTGTTGGTTATCACGGCAATGTCATCCGTTGGGGGGCAGGCTATCTTCATCTCAGCAATCTAGCAAACATCAAGAACAGACTTCAGCTTCCAGTTATGAACACGCCATCAATATAGAAATCTCATTTGTCTCATATTTTTACTCACATTTGACAAGTCAAGCGTGAGAACTTCGCTTCTGGACGTATTTTCCAGGAGTGATATCATTGCCAAGTGTTTCTGCCCGATAATGACGACTTCTCCTTTTGCGTTGATAATCTCAAAGTCGCCCACGCCACCCTCTACAAAGTAAGATTATAGATAAATACTTATCTTGAGACAACTTAATTCTCTTAAATACTTACTCGGATTAAGTCTGACCGTGAACTTTGACTGGTTCAAAAGTATTTCTAGGCCAGCAGGACATCTCTCATTCTCCCGAATTTCGATACTGATCGATTCCATGATGATGCTCGACTTGGTCAGATCACAAATTTCCTAAAAAACCAAATTCAGTCAAATTACAACCTTTAGAAGAAGATCAGTCGAACAAATTTGGTAAAAATTTGATAACAACAAAAGTAGTTATTTCATCACGAGTTTCGCCCAATTTTACTTTTCTACCCCAATTTAGTTGCAAATTTGCGACGACCTCGCAAAACACCCATCCCGCGATGCAAAGAGACCTCAACCAAACCACACGGTACAGTAGTACAAAAGAACAGTGGCCGCGGAATCGTGGGGGCAGAGGGACAAATTGTCCCGGAAAATGTCCCCACCATCTCCCCATCTTACATAAACCCCTCCCTCCCCCCTCATACAATATTAATGTCCACAGATGTCCCACACCTTCCGCGGCCACTGCTCTACAGTCTGCCCAGCTTAGTCGTCGAGTCCATGACACGACCTCAAAATGCAACGGAATTCTGAACAACCCAGATAGAGAAACAATTTAACAGTTGACTGATAAAATTCAAAGGCTTGTGAAGTTTCTTTGTCGAATTATACAACAATGAAATGATACAAACGAAGTGACTGAAATGATTCCCATCGTCATCAAAGTAGGGACAGATATACCTCAAAAGTACAATAGGACATAGAGCTCAACTGGTCACTCCACCAGCCATGGACCGATTCGACTCTCACATAAAGAACAACAAATACAAATCCGCACAAAGAGATGGGAGAAAGTGAAACCGGACAAAGAATGGAATGGGGAACCAAACAAAGGAAAATACATAAGGGAATGATTTATTTATTAATTTAGGATTAATTTTTGCGGAGTAACGCTTCGACGTGGCATGAAATTTTACGATCTCATAATTCACCCAACAACAAGTGTTCTGCTGAATGGAACCAAATTTTGTATGTATTTTTATTTGGAGCATTCCAACAAAAAAGAAGGATAATATTCTTTGTAAAATCCCATTTTATTTCAGACAAGCGTGTAATCTAGCCTTAAGAAAGGTCTTGCCGTATCAATACCTCAAACAAACAAGGTATACAAATTTTTATGACTATGCGAACCTCATGAATACCAAAATATTCAATAGTTTCTACTTTTTATCTCAATGTAAATAAGAAATGATCTTGTTTTTCAGGATTTTCCTTCGCCTTTGATTTATTCAGGAATAAAATGGAAATCTTGTTGATTTTAATCCAAAGTAATTTTCTCGCTGGGAGGCATTCAGCCAGCAAGGAATAGGAATAGGTAATTTTGAACAAGCATTTCTTCTAACACGGTTGTTTGCAACATCGTCATCGTCGTCGCCCAGATGAGTTTCCTGTTTTATGATGAAAGCAAGTATAATATTGGGTCATAAATTACTTCCTCTTCTTCTTCCTCCTCTCTCAAAAACAACATTGGCATAATGCCTCAAAGGAAAATTGGTTCTCATTTCGCACAAAATGAAGAAGAAGGAATTGATTAATGATACGATACGACAACGTAAAGCCTTCCTGGCTAAATTTCTCAGCCCATCGGTACGTACACAACTTTTCCACTTTCTCTCTCATCAACTTTTTAATTTGGGGACAATGAAATGAAATGAAGCCAACCAACCAACTTTTTCTTCTCAAATTCTAAACTCGTCACAAAATAAAGAATTTCTTTCTTCTCCAATTTCTTCGCACAAATCGAAAAATTCCAAAGGGAATCGAAAGAATTCTGCAATCGAGTTTAGATTGCTTTCACAATCAGCAAACTTTATTATCAACTTTATTATCGTGAAGCAAAAACAATAAAGTCGGTAAGTGAGTAAGTAAGTCGAAAAGAAAACACAAAATATAAAGACTATTTACGAAAAATGAGCAAAGTTCACCTTATTAACAATTTACCCCATTAGTCTCCTAACGAACGGAGGATATGATGGTCATCAAATGCAATTTCATGATATCATGTCATGCCAAGTAAGTAATGAAAATATCTATGTGGGCATAAAATGTAATCAGTAAAAAGAACTAACCCAATATTTTTATATCGCCGATTAATACTCGATCGTCTCCTTAACTTTGTTGTTGATCGTTTACTTTTATCTTTCACTGCTGCTTTTTCTTCTTCCCCTGTTCGTGCTTGGTTCAAATCTATCACGATAATCTCCCCGTCGTTTTCACTCAACTGGTTAAATAAATTAATCCCTCACAGTTAATCCAGACTTGGACGAGGATCAAGACTTAATGAGATTTCTTTTCCGTCTAATTCGTGTGCACCACTTTTATTTTTTTTTTACTTAAAAAAAGTACTATTTGACGAAAGCTGGAAACCAATTTATTGGAATTTATTATGTACCTCAAACAGTCTCAAAATAAGTCGGCCATAAACTTTCCACGGAGAGATGAATATAAAAAAAAACATGTTTTCTTTAACGCATCCAAATCCGGGTGTCACATGTCCTCCCCAGGAATAAATCACGATTTTTTTATATCGTAGGTGCTTAGCTTATACTTTTTCCTGTACAAATGTGTGTGAGATTGTCTATGTTTTATTTTAGAGGAGGAAAAATCCAATGCAATTGTAGAGAGAGAAAAAATATATATATTTACTTTTTTCCGTCTTCTCTTAATACGAGGTGCAGCAGGAGCAGCACAACTGTCCGATTTTATGATGGATGATGAGCACCCGGTGTGGTTACATGATTTTATTTACCTCCTCGATAGCAGATTCGGATATGTTGGTTATAAAAATATGTTTATGAAATTCGACCCACCCGAAAATTCGGAAAACTCCTTCCCTGCCCGACTTCACTACTGGGACTGAAACCCGGGTGAGAAATACTTCTGGTTTTGTATACGGACTACAACACCATCAACCATGCACCCACCGTTCCGTTCTAAATACTGAATTCCATTCCACCCAACACCCGACCCGTGCTGCTGCAGTTCTTCTTATCTGGCAGAAATCTCTTTAATCTTGAAGAAGAAATAGTTAAGCGTGACGAATTATGCGTTTTCCATTATGCAATGTTTATTACTTAAACATGCTGACTTGTCGGATTGATGGCGTTTTCTACGGTCTGGGTGAGGAGAACGGAATATGTCATCAATTGAGATGAAATTAAAACGTCGCCTCTTTATTATAGGGTGAAACCGTATTAAGTGAAGATTTTGTCCGTCTGTCCGTCCGTATGTCTGTCTGTCTGTCAGCAAGATTATGGGAGAACGGATCGAGATAATCGAAATCGGTTTGCGGCATAATTCGTATGACCTCAGGGGGAGGATCCTATCAACTTTGGGATCAATCGGACAACCCAATTCGAGGTCAGGGAGGACGTGGTCATATATTTTTTTGGGGAAAATTGCTGGTTTCACCCTTTAGCTACATGCGTTTTGAACGGTTTCTTTATTTATTGTGGGACGGTTTTTTATTGGGATTGATTGCTACATAGAGAAAGAAAAATCCAATTTAGACTTAATCAGTATGCCTGTTGAGTGACGTACTTAACCAAGTAAATTATTAGACAGTGGTTGTTAATTGATTTAGATTTACGTAAGGAAAGAGATACATTATTTATAGAGATGGAGGCATTTTGAGACGAATGTGCAAATATTTTTCTTAAAATTTCTTAAACCCGACAAATATTTTACCACGCTCGGTCAACATTATTTCTGAAAAGGGGCCCTGTAAAAAAATCCTTTTGTATGAAAAAAACATAGATTCCTACTCATACTTTATTATTCGAGGGGAAGAAAACGCCTGCCTGTCTGCATACACAAATTTCTTGCATTCATGCCGAAAAAGTTGGGTACAAGAAAAGAGTTACGAGTTATGCATTATATTTAATATCCTCAGGATATTTTGGGGGGAGGATAAGGAAAGGAAACCGAGAAGGAAAAGAAGTGTATTGTGAGAAGAAGGAGGAGGAATTCTGTAAACAAAATAAGCCTTCTTTCTTCTGTGATTTTGCATTTTTTATTCCCATTTTTTTTACTCACTCACTTATTGGCATTCCGCTTTTTCTCCGGCAAGTTATGGTTTTGGTATTCAAAAACGGTTGCGAGAAAGGTAGTCGTCTTGCCGGCACGATGGATGCAGAACTTGTAAAGTGGTTTCGACTAAAAAATTTGTACGGGAAATAAACTACTTTGGCTCAGTTGAATGGATTTTGTACGTAAAACATACATGGTCGGCCAGGCCACACTTTCTCTCACTCTCTCGAGATTTGCAATTCCTTCCTGTTGAAATACGAGGACGACTTTTCTGAACGAAGAGTTTGAGAGGAAATGGTTGTTACATTATATTTTTATTTTATTGTACGTAGTCCGAGAATTCTTCCTCAAATAGTTAAATGCAAATCCATCTTCTAGCCCGGTTCGCATCACATGGGACTTCATTACACGTTACACGTCCACGTCCACGACTAACTTCGCCTTCCTTCCGTCCAGTCCGGTTTTATTGTCTTATCGTTTCAACTAGAGAAAAGGGGACAGAACGACAAGAGCAATAAGTCAAAGTCAGTGCATATGTTGCTTTATTCGTGCTGTTGCTGGGCGAAAAAAGAAGGCAAATTTACTTCTTTTTTTAAGGTGACATGAAAGTACAAGTGTCGTCGTCCAGACTGATGTGATATTCCAAAATGGGGCCAAATTGTGATTTAATGCGATACATGCATAGCAATTCTGACGTGTTGAGGGTATAGACAGAGAAATATATGAAAAATTGAGACCCTCACTCCTGCCTGATCCAACGTCCACGATGCGATGACTGTTTCATTATTCAAGAGCGAAAGCTGGGTGGGTAGTGGTGGTGGTGGTTGATGTCACATTTCACCTCGTATCAGTCCAACGGAGGTGAACATGACGTGACATTGAGGTACCGAGAGACTGGCTGGGTTTCGTCGCGTGTTGGAATTTTTAACAAGATTTCAAGACCAATACGACTATACATTTTTCAAAGCGGTCTGGTGCAGCAGTAGAAAGAAGAAAGTAGGTGATTATTTTGGATAAGCGCCGGGACAAAAACACGACACAATTCAGACGGGCTGATTAATGCAGGAACAATGCAAGTCAGGTAGCCAAGAAAGAAGAAGGGACGAAAATAACTAATTAAATCACGTTCCCTCTTAAAAGGACGACGAATTACATAAATCCTCTTAAAACGAGGAGAACAATGGTAAACAGATTACTCGTCTGGATTAATTCGTCGAGCAGCGCAATGCCTCCACCATCTTCGAATTACGTTATGTATCATCATCAACCTAATCAGGAGAGAAAATGGGATTATTTGCATCATTATTGACTTTATGTTGTACGAAAATGGGATGAAATTGTTCTTCTTGGACGGGATGGTCCATTACGGAGGAATTATTGGTATTGTGATCCCGAACATTCCGAAATCCTGACGACCTTTCTTCCATTACGGAATTATATATGCGCTCCATACATAAATGACTTTAATTCTGCCTACGTGGTATGTTTTACTTTCCTTCTTGGAAGTAGTTACATACTTGTAGCAGAATCCTACTTTGGATCCGCTACTCTGTTATCATTCAAGTATCCGTAATTGGCCAATTTGCATTACATTCATGCAAATTATTAACCACGCTAGGAACAAAGAAGACCAAATGCGAGGGAGAACATCCGTATGCAGATACGTACAGCCTGTTAATGCAGCAGAACATTGCCCTTGATACGTATTTATGCATGTGGCTGCCGAGTATGGTACGAAATTGGATTAGATAGACACGAGTCGTGCATCTAGTAATTCCCAGGAATACGGAAATAATGGAGTGAACTACGACATGCAGGTTGGTTCCCAGTTCTGGGAAACTTGCCCCATTCTGATGGACATACATTCCATTTCACGTCATGATTTTGGGAAAACTATGCACCCACATACCTGGCCTGGCCTTTCTCCGAATGATGACTTTGATTTAATTAAGAAGAAACGTCCATAAACCGTCCAAAATACAAATAGGCTCCTATAATTTCCCAAGTTTTACTATTCCCACCAAATTGATTTCCGAAATTTCTAGTAAACTATGTACGGCTCGCAATTTATTTCCTGTTGTAAAACACTCCGCCATTGTGGAAAAGATTGATTCCTCTTTTTCCTACTACGGGCTCGAAACCATCCATCCATCATTCGGCCGTGAAATTATTTGCAACTGGATGCACCCCGCTGTTGCACTTTTTTCTTTTATCCGACTTTCTCCATCAACATTACTTACACTTTCTCTCCTCGCCTCTCTCCCTTTCATCGTCCCGTTACTTCAAAGGCGAATTCCATTAAATACGCCCAAAAGTCCTCCGAGTATTTAATGATTCACCTCGTTTACCACGACACACGAGTGAGCAAACTTACATATACTTTGGATATAGCAAGTTCCTACTTGGGTGTCATAATCACCATTCTGCTCTGCCTGCTGCACCTTCCTTACTTTTTCCACCGCCACGTGAAAAAGGATTGATCCCTTCGAAACACCGTGTGGTTCATCCAACCGTGGAGTGAGTGAAAGCGGAGTGAAAGCGATTCAAAATTGGGATCTATACCTTTTTAAAAAACGAGGTGGATTTCACTTTTTCCCAATTTTGTATGGATTTTGTATGAACGTGTGGGTGTGAGATATACATATCTGGGCTGACACGCTTCAAAGATCTTTCCCCCTGAAGGCTACCACGACTTGCTTAAAGTTTGGGAAGTGCATCCAACTTTACTATTTTTTTTCTTCCGCAAAGTATGTAGGGAAACCTGGTCTGATCTGATAAAAATAGGGCATGTTTGTACTTCAGTAAATAGTGTGTGGTTAAAAAATGTTTTCATTTTAATATATACTCATCACATTTTTTTTGCCTTTATACTGAAATAAATATGAAATGTGGAAAGGAAGAAGAAGATCTCGTCATTTATTTTTTTTTCTTTGGGGAGAGAAACCAGGCCAAATCTTGGTCTTGGTCTCATCTAAGGATGAGCAGATGATGGGAGAAAGTAGTGAAAGTGAAGGGCAATTCTTCAAAAAATCTTTCAACCCAGTTGTCTTCTTCCTGGTTGGTTTTTTTGGTGATGGCCTTGGTTATGGTTGGAGAAGAATTTTTGTGCAGTGGCGTAGGTGGAATGGACGGCTGGAAGATGTAGGAGAAAGTGATTCGCTTTTTTTTAGACTTTTTGGTATCTAGCAAATTCCTAAGGAGAGAGGAGAGAAGGTAATCCCCAATCTCTCCAGTGGTTCGTGGTGGTGGTGGGTGGAGATGAAATGAATTGTGGATGCCTATGGATATGGAGTTCGTTATATGCAATGTCTTATGTTTGAAGAATGAATGGGAAGCGTGGGATTTTGTCTGACTTTCAGTGTTTAATTGATGATGGAAGGAAAGATAACTAAATAATTTTCTGTGGAAGAAGGCTAATAAGAAAAAAATGTGTATTTTTCTAGTAATCTATGTCTCAAGGTTTATGTTTACGATTTACAATTGTTTTACTTTGAAGACAAGGCTCAATTTTTTCGCAATTACATAATTGATTAACTAATCAGATTTCCTATCTTGTTTAGTAAGAAGATTTTCTTACCTATTAATCCTTGTATAGCAAAAACAATAAATACATTTTCTTGGTAAACTTATCACTAACAAAGAGACATCCTTTGTCTCATTTTATGAGAACTTGTCACCTGTAACTACTTAAGAAAATGATTTTCTTTTGTTTCTCCTCACCCTTTGTCCTTTCGAGGCAGAAATCCTACTCCTTTTTCTTACGAAATGCTCGCAGAAATGAAAGCTCTTACGTACTTATGAGACAAAGACGTCCGAAAAGTGTCGTCTTCAATTTAATGTGGGT